TCTTTGTGACACGTATGTCTTTCGATGTGTGACGTGACAATGACTATATAAACTGTGTACTGCCTTTATTCTGTCTGGGAGAAAGAAACAGAGTAAACCAGTGGAACTTGAGAGAAACTTAAATAAACTTCCAGAGTTTGGCACACCACGATCCGTCTCTGTCTGCTGAATCCTGACACTGGTCTCCATCCGCTGTCCCACTGGCACTCTGCCCAAAGCCGGAGATGTTCTTTAGTCCTCTCCACATGTCGCAGGCGTTTCCCTGAGCCAGCTTCTGCTCCAGATTTTTCCAAGTCCTTCTTGGCCCTCCTGATACTCCACTGGACCTTGTGCTGGATCCTCTTCTGCTCCTCAATAAACAGGTAAATGTAGAATAATATATGTTTTCTTTTATAAAAACATACTGAAGCAATTGGCTAAAAACATTACGAGTACCAAGGTGCTCAGAGGCTGGACCTGCTCTGTCTGCAGTTCTCTCCTGCGCTCCGCAAGTCTCTCCCCAGGGTCGCAAGCAGGTCTCTTATGGGGCCCAGGCACTCATAATATTTCGAAATGGATCTCATAATAATTTGACATTATCCATCCATCAATTTTCTTCCCCTTCATCAGACATTCCAACGAGGGAGCTGTTTTGACGTGGGGGGGCAGGGCGTTCCACAGCTTTGGTCCAGCCACAGAAAAGGCCCTGTCCCCCGGGGTTTTAAGTCTGGTCTTAGGTACCACGAGCTGGAGCCGGCCCTCGGACCTCAGCGCGCGGGGCGGGTGGTGAATTTGGATGAGGTCCGAGATGTAAGGAGGGGCCAGTCCATTCAAAGCTTTAAAAACAAACAAAATGAAGGACCTCCCCACCCACCTGGAGAGGGCAATGCACCTTTTTCCGGAGCACCATGGCCTCAGATTTTGAGGTGCTGATTCTCATCCCAGCCGCTTCACACTTGGTTGCAAACCGTCCCTGTGCATGTTGCACGTCCTGGTTTGTTGAAGCCAACAGGACAACATGTTTGTAAACCGCTTTTTGACTCTGGTCTGTGAAAGGCGGTATATAAATAAAGATTACTTACTTATTTTACTTACTTAACATTGTCCGCAAACAGCAAAGATGAAATCCTGTGGTCCCCGAACCAGACCCCTTCCGGTCCCTGGCTGTGGCCTCCTAACCAGAACCCATGGCTGTGGTCTCCGAACCGGACCACATAATATTTTGAGATTAATCTCATAATATTTCGATTTTGATTAATCTTGTAATATTGTAATATTCTGACTTTACTCTCATAGCCTCTGAAAATAAAAGAGAAAATTAGATGACCCTTCAGCTCCATTGTACAAATAAGATTTCTTTTATGACAACTGAAAAAAACTACTACTTATTTTTGTTTTCAATTGAACAGATACAGTGTGATGACTGTGACAGGTGGTTCCATGATTCTTGTGTATCGTTGGAAAGCAAGGACTTGGAGGATGCAATGGAAAAGAGCTGGGCATGTGTGTTATGCCAGTGAAGAAGAGAAACAAGGGACAGGGCTTTGTTCAATATATTTTCATGATGAAAAAATAAAGTCATCTCATGGTAGCCCTACTAGTGTTGCATCATGTTACTCCACTAGCTGCATAGTACAAGTACTTTTTTCATTTTCAATCTCTAAATATTTATTTAACATGTAAATAATTCCAAGTCAAGTGATCTATTGACTCCAAATCAGTTTAGGATCATAATCCTCCACTAGCTGCAAGGGGTACACCTCTTTTTTTGTCGTTTAAGTATTTTTAAGTATTTTTAATGAATTTTTAAAGGCTAATATTAGCATTTTAGCTCAGTAGCTTCCAGGTCATGTGATCAATTGACTCCAAATCATGTCAGGATCATAGTCCTCCCCTAGCTGCAAAGGGTACACCTCTTTTTTTTTGTCATTTAAGTTTTTTTAAGTATTTTTAATGAATTTTTATATGTAATAAAATAGCATTTTAGCTCAATAGCTTCCAGGTCATGTGATCTATTGACTCCAAATCAGGTCAGGATCATAGTCCTCCCCTAGCTGCAGGGGGTACACCTCTTCTTTTATCATTAAAATGTTTTAAGTATTTTTAATGAAATTTTAAATGCAAATATTAGCATTTTAGCTCAATAGCGCCCAGGTCATGTGATCAATTGACTCCAAATCAGGTCAGGATCATAGTCCTCCATTAGCTGCAGGGGGTACACCTCTTTTTTGTCATTTAAGTATTTTTAAGTATTTTTAATGCATTTTTAAAGGCAAATATTAGCATTTTAGCTCAATAGCTTCCAGGTCATGTGATCAATTGACTCCAAATCAGGTCAGGATCATAGTCCTCCACTAGCTGCAGGGGGTACACCTCTTTTTTGTCATTTAAGTTGTTTTAAGAATTTTTATTGAATTTTTGAAAGGCAAATATTAGCATTTTAGCTCAATAGCTTCCAGGTCATGTGACCTATTGACTCCAAATCAGGTCAGGATCATAGTCCTTCACTAGCTGCAGGGGGTACACCTCTTTTTTGTCATTTAAGTATTTTTAAGAATTTGTAATACATTTTTAAAGGCAAATATTAGCATTTTAGCTCAATAGCTTCCAGGTCATGTGACCTATTGACTCCAAATCAGGTCAGGATCATAGTCATCCACTAGATACAGGGGGTACACCTCTTTTTTTATCATTAAAATGTTGTAAGTATTTTTAATGATTTTTTATATGTAAATATTAGACCAGCGTACATGTCTTCGCGTGTTTACCGTACTGTGTGTAGTAGGGGTGCACTAAAATGTTGGAGCGGCTTTCGAGTCGCTCTGAACCCAGAGAGAAGGAGAGGTGTACCGAGAGGGAATGACCGTTGAATGTGTGTCGGATATCCAACTTCAAACTAACTTCACCGCGGTCCTAATGCGAACAGTCTCCCTCTGGCCTGATGCTCGCTCTCACAGTTGGTGCTGTTGCAATAACACTTCAAACGTTCAAGAATCAGACTTTATTTAAATCGCCAGAACACACACACACACGCACGCAGGCTCCGGTCGCTATGTTTGTACGCCACATCTTTCACGCTCTCTCACGCTCGTTATTCCAAAGCGCACTCCCGTGTCCGTGGCGCGCACACACTCGTGTCCCACTGAGCCGCTGCACTTTGGGGAAAGACACGTCTCACACATTGCTCTCATTGCTCTGATACAAACAACGTGTTCCCCGCTGTCTGTTAGCTACAGTAGCTGCTACAGTAGCTGTTAGCTACAGTAGCTGCTACAGTAGCTGCTACAGTAGCTGTTAGCTGCTACAGTAGCTGCTACTAGCTGTCTGTAGCTACAGTAGCTGCTACAGTAGCTGTTAGCTACAGCATCAGAATGTAAACAGGAAGCTCGCACAATGCGGGAGTCACTGAAGTTAGTATTAGCGCCACCAGCTGGACCGAGCGTTGTACTGCACAGCACTGACAGCAGACTATTTACTCAGGCACAGTTGAAAGAACAAGCATGAAAACCCGAGGAGGCTTTTGGAAAAGACTGTCTGTTACAACATTTCTATTTTGAGTAATCAGTTTTAAAAATGTGATATTTCATGTAAATAATGCATGTGTTTAATAGGATTGATATATTTGCGATGGGCCTTGTTTGTGTGATTTAAGTTATTTTGAAGGTGCATAGTGTCATTGTAAGTGAAGTTATTATAAAACTGTTAAGCTACATTTTCACTGTTTACAATGGCAGAGCCATCTCGTTTACAAGCATGTTTTAAGGCTTAATTCCTGTTACACTTATGCTCCATGGGGATTTAGATTAAACTGCATAAAGGAAAATCTATTTCTTTGTCAGTTGTAGTTTGTTTTTAAATAGAAAAAAATAAATCGATTAAAATCGAAAATCGGATTTGGTGTGAAAAAATCGGAGATTTTTTTTTTTTGCCATATCGCCCAGCCCTATCTTGTCTAAATATTTTTTTATATTTGATTGAAATGAATGAAAGTCAAAACATGTAATTCTAAACGGTCCTCAAAGGGCCGGTGTATCTGCAGGTTTTAGTTCCAACCTGAGCAAGATGGATGGAGTCTGCTGTGAGCCTGCTCTGGTTGAAACTAAAACCTGAAGCCCCACTGGTCCTTTCTAGAACCGGTTTGACAGCCCCTGAGCGAAAGGATTTATACTGTTACATCTAGACAGTGTTGAAAATATGTAAAACCACTGACATCCCTTCTGCCTCGATTGTGTATAGATTAGACTTGTGACCCCTGCAAATAAGGCTTCACATCAGTATTTTGCTTAATGCAGGATCAAGATCTCCATTGTTTTCTGTTTGTTTATAGCTCATAAATTATGAGCTATAATTTATAGCTCATAATTACAGTTATGTTTGGAATGGGCCTATATATGTGTTGGTCTGTCTGTATGTTTGCAAAATAACAACAGTTTTGGCCGGATGTTGTAAATGGGGCAAGGAACTATTACATTTGTGAAGATGATCCAGATTTTTTTTATTTATTATTGAACTGTGCCTTTTGTAGGAGGTCTGCTCTGTACAACTTTATTTCTAGCTTTTTGGTTCAATGATTAGAATATTAATTTTGTGTCGGTTTTCTAGTCAAGATTATGTATTACATGCTGGGTCGTCCATATTTATATATATATATATATATATATATATATATATATGACAGTTAATAATTAATATTTAAAACAAAATATGTTTTAAAGGGGGCCACTACAATGCTTGCAGGCCACATCTGGCCCGCGTGCCTTGTGTTTTACGCATGTGCAGAGTACGGAGTAAATACGGGACTCTACACAAGCTACAAGCTAACAGCTGTAGCAGCATGGATCAGCCTCTGTTGTTAGCATGTGTTTGTAAAGTAGCATGACTAGTTTGACTTGGTGAAGATGGATAAGCGGCATAAAGATTTACTGAGGAAACACCGGCTGTGGCTGTCTGAGCAGCTAGTTTCTGACACTATCGTGCAATTTTTATATCAAGAAGACATTTTAACACAGACTCAGGTTGAGATGATCGAGTGTCAGCCTTGTACTAAGCACAGAGTTCTGAAACTACTGGACATCCTGCCGTCCCGCGGTCCTCAAGCTTTTGACGTGTTTCTTCAGTCTCTGGAAGAGTTCCCGTGGGTCCAGGACACTCTGCAGAAGGACCAGGCCAGCACAGCACACAGCTCCACAGGTCAGCTCCATTGACTATTTGTCAGCTCACAAAATACGTTCAAACATTCGCAATTGCCCACTCTTTGTTATGTAATGTATTACTTCCTCTTCTTTTGATTCTTTTAACCTTTACACGATAAGGACACATATGATAAGTGGAACATGAATAATATTGACATTGTGAAAAGAGCAAGTGTTTGTGAAGCAACTCAGTCCAAGGTTATTTTCTTTACAGATGTTGTTTATCTCAGTGACCACATCCTACGCAAGGTGCCCACAGACCGCGAGCTGTCCCGTGTGGCCTCTCTGCTCGGGGGGCAGTGGGAGACCGTGCTTTTGGACCTAGAGCTCACTGCAGAGGACTTGTACCGGTGCCGTGTGGACCACAGGTCAGATGTGCATGGAGCAGCTCTGGAGGGGCTGGTGCACTGGAGACAAGCTCAAGGGAAGAGGGCAACTGTCCAGCGACTTGTGCAGAGTTTGGAAGTAGCAGATATTCACCTGTCTATGCTGCTGGACACCTTTCAGTGAGACACTTTCTCTCTGTCAAATCTAATTGGTTGCATAACATCTTTTTGACTTTCCTGGAAGCCAGGAAGGGAGAGAGTTATATAGCTTTTGAGATCTGCTTTTTCAGATGGAACTGGGAAATAGACAGTGAATGTGAAAATACTTAACATATTCTTCTGGTTTGTTCTCAGTATTTTACTTTGACTAAACTCTCCACGTTTAGAACAAACCTGTGTTATTTATTTAAAAAGTTGGGTGCCCCACCTTTAAGCACTTTGCGAGCTGATCCAGCAGTTCAGTGATGTCTCTTATCACAGATGATCTCCAGCTGTAATGCTCTTTTAAGCCCTCCGAACACCAGAGACTGGCTTCTCTCTTTTGGCTCTGTCTGGCCAAAATAAAGATATACACTGTAGCTTCAGCTGAACTCTGGTAAAACAAAAACTCTAGTTGTAGCCCTGGACAGTGTTCTGCCTCTCATTACTCAGCACCTTGGTGACCTAAGATGTGCCTAGAATGACATACCAACCAGCTGATCAAAAACTGTAATTTACATTTGCCCAAGGTCAGGAGATGATTGTCCATACTTTTGTTTCTGTGCAATTGGACCATTGTAACATCTTGCTTACATGTCTTAGTTAAAATATCTGTCCCACACTAATAGGAAAGCACACATTTCTGTAATCTTGAAGTCCTAACACCGGCTCCCTGTGTCGCATAGAATAAATTTTTAAAATTCTGGTGCAGACATTCAGTGCTCTTCATGGTCAGGCGCCTGAATATATCCAGGGCCTGATCCACCCTTATGTCTCCAACAGGAGCCTGAGGTCCTCCAGTCAGAACCTGTTGATGGTCCCACGCACTCGTTTTAAAAGACATCCTTGCTGTTAATCCTCGCCTTTGGAATGAGCTTCCCCAGTCTCTGTGCATGTTGTAATAATAATATTGCATCAGTTTTATAAAGCGCTTTTTTGGACACTCAAAGACGCTTTACATGTCATTATTCATTCACTCCATACACGGTGGTGATAAACTACTACTGTAGCCACAGCTGCCCTGGGGCACACTGACAGAAGCGAGGCAACCAGTATGTGTGTGTGTGTGAATGGTCGATTACCACCAACCATTCACACACACACTAGACTCATTCTAGGCAATGGGGGTGAAATGTCTTGCCTAAGGACACAACGGCAGTTTGGCACTTTACAGCCGCAGCCGCCCCACTGTGGCATCAGGTGTTCCCAGAGGTTAAGTGTCTTGCCAAGGACACAATAACAGCGGACATTAGTGGGAGTCGATGGAGAAAGTCTTGTGATGGGCTCGAACCCACGACCTTCAGGCTCAAATGCCAATGCTCTACCGGCTGAGCTACTGTCGCCACTGTTATCCCTACCCATCGTTTAGACAGGCTTTTTTGCGTCACTGTACATAGGCCTTTGAGAAGTGTGTTCATGATGAGGACTGTCGTCTGTATCTTTGTCTTTGAATCTGACTTGTACATGTATTTTTATCTGTATGTTTTTAAATGTGAAGCGCTTTGTGATCCTGTTCTATGAAAGGCGGTATACAAACAAACTTTACTTACACCCTCTGGCAACTTGTATTACCAGTGGTTTAGTACTAACCAGAGAGAAAACCTTTGATAATCCCACATCAATATTAGATTCACAAACGGTCCCATTATTCTTATGTCTGAAAGTCCCTTCTACTAACATCATGCATACACTTTGGAATATTGTTACCACATACTTGGACCATAGTTGATACTACTGACAAAAAAGATGTGAAACTATGACAGTTTTGTTTCATGTGGTTTGGCCCAGGAATGACAAAGACATAGGCTGTAAACAAATGACCAATTCATACTTAATAAGATGTAAGTTAATTGTTCTTGCATCGGTTCTTTATTCAGTGGGAGATCTCTGTGAAAACTGAAGAAGCGTCACCTAACGTCATCGAACATCATCCTGAAGTGGATTCAAATTGTAGGTTGTTGGTTTGCGCCACCTCCGCCTGCAGTTTTATAGCACATGATTGTAATAGTGGAATCCATTTGGTCTAGATAAGGTTGCTTCACTAAACAAAAACTATCCCAACTATAACCATACCCCCATGGAGAAGAAAGTCTAAACAATAAGATCAGAATGTTTTTCCAATAGCAAAAATAACCCTTTATTAATTGCTTCTTTCTCTTCTTCATTTACAATCTTTATAATTTATATATATTGCTTTTCACAGACCAGAGTCTCAAATCGCTTCGCAATTGCTTGTTTGATTGACTGATCATTGTGAGTAACATTTAGCCTATTCTGGGACAATAAAAGTCATCTTATCCTCACCTTCTTTATCATCCCTATGTTTAAAAGAAGCCTCAAAAAATAGTTACAGCATGAACAATTCAACAATCCCGAGTAACGAGTATAGACTGGCACTAGAAGGATTATATTTTTTACCCAGCAGGGGGCGTTACAAAAGCTTGCTTATCTGGTATGTAATGCACTTCTAGATCTTCTACCACCAGAGGGTAGAGTGGAATCATAAATGTACGCGCGTGAAAATCCGAGCTATGTCGATATTACAGTAGAAATAATGTATTAACATAGCCGAGTAACTTTTAAAGCCAAGTAAAAATGTACTTTTTAGATGATTTTCAAGATTTGTATTACGTAGCTATGAGTAATGGTAGTCAAGAATACGATTGACCTATAATATTTATATGACGTTTTAAGACAGAAAAGGAATTAACTTGTCCATAGAAGCAATAACAACATGGACCTAGTGATACATCTCTACATAGACAAGGTGAAGGAGAGAAGGACCATAGAGGAGGACCATAGAGGAGGACCATAGAGGAGGACCATAGAGGAGGACCATAGAGCAGGACCATAGAGCAGGACCATAGAGCAGGACCATAGAGCAGGACCATAGAGCAGGACCATAGAGCAGGACCATAGAGCAGGACCATAGAGCAGGACCTGTAGACCGCCGTAGCCCCATGCAGCCTCCGGAGAAGGGCGGGGCCAGCACCAGTAGTACCCTGATCAGTCCGCTCGAGCAGACCACAACCACGCCGGCCTCCATCTGCCTCCAGCCCGCGGGATGGACCTCGGTTCATCGCCATACTTTCCTCCACACACCGGCTCGCTCTGGGGCCACACAGGGGAGCAGAAGGATGGAGAGGCGGTGTGAGAAAGTGTGTGAACGAGGTGCACTGTGAGCAGCAGCACCGCGCTCCGATGCAGCAAAAATCGCCATTGTTTGGATGCGCATCAGACTGAGTCAGAAAACATACATTGTGCTCTGAGTTTGCTTAACGCAAGGACATTATGGCTTCTGCGCTCATCGTTGCCTTTTATACCTACTGGTTAATTCAGGTAAGATATTCCTCTGCAGAAGAATACCTTATGTCTGCCCTTATGCTCGTGTCATGTGGCTAGCACAGCGCGGCTTTGTTTGAGTAAATCTGCTTTATATTTGAGTTTATTGAAAATAATTGTATTGTTATGGATTTAGTTAATTCTCTTAAATAGGTTTTGTGTTAGACTTGGACATAGGAAGACAGTATACTCGGCACAGCAGAGCAGCTTGCTTGAGTCAGGCAGGCAGCCGCTCGGATTGTCCTGCTGAAAGTGGGTCATTCGGCTGCAGCCTCAGCTCTGCTCTTGTCTGTCGGCTTCACACCATAGACTACACACGCACAGTGCACGGCCAGGGGACCAGGGCTGATGCAGACGCTCTACATCCAGGCACAGCATCCTGGGACCGCAGCATCTCCTGTGACAGCTGTGGCAGCGCAGGAAGCAACATCCCAGAGGATAATATGGACACATGAGCAACATCTGCATATCACACACACTCACATATAAAAGACAGGGCATTTTCAAGCTTATCCAGGCAGTGTCTGCAGCACCTGGCCTAGCGAAGGTAATGTGAACAGTGCTGTCTTTCCACAGGCCTGACATTAAGTTTGTCTGTTGGTGTGCCATGGAGAAAACACTCAATTGTAAACATTTAGAGAGTATCTCAAATCTGTTCTTAGCATCGTTAGCTGATGTATAACGTTACATTTGTGACCACCTGCATATAAAAACCAGATCTCAGAAGCTAAGCAGGGTAGGGCCTGGATAGTACTGTGATGGAGTACTCCTGGAACACCAGGTTCCACAATGGGATAGCTGTAAAGTGCTAAACTATTGTGTCTTTCGGCTAGACACTTCACCAACATTGCCTAGAATGAGTCTAGGGGCACAGGGCAGCTGTTGCTACTGTAATTTATCACCAAAAATCATAAGAATAATGCCTTGTGAAGCGTCTTTGAGTGTCCAAGAAAGCGCTGTATTAAAGTTATTTATTATACAAAACTAAAGGAATAAATAGGCTATGTATTCATAGCCTACTATATGAACGTTTTCATATTGTTTCAACAAGTCAACCTGATGGAATAATAATATGGCTTTTTTCACTCTGTTTATCACAGATTTGTGGTAAAGCATTTCATTGCGTACTGTACAGATCATGTTACTGGCAGCATATGAAGAAACTTGAGTGAACCGATATAGATTATAGTCTGCAGATTCTTGTGTGTTCATTGATTCATGTTTTTCATGGTTAATAAACGGAGGGTGTGTTCACACAGTCCAGTCTCGAGTGCACTTGAGAGTAACGCTGGTTCACTTATGCTTAATTTGTGGAGAGTGAAAGCTCCAAATAACAGCACACTGGACCACGAGTGACCTCAGTCGGTTCACTTCTTTTAAAACGGATGACTTCATGAGGAGGTGGGACAGTTGCATACCACCTGAATGGGAACTAGGGTACTACCAAATCACTACAATACCACTAACCCTAACCACCACACTATTGAGACGGTTAGTCTTTTGTTCTAATTCTTACATTTTAATCTGAATAACAGAATTCAGAATATATGGAGCAGAAGAAATTTGCCCATTTGGTATTGATGTACCTGAAAACGTGACTGTTTTGTTGAGCTTTAGTTTCGTAACTTTTAATAGTACTGACAGCGTTATTCACATCTTTCAGTTTCAATTGATCAACCAGTTATATATTGGTTCGCCAAACCTTTATTTTGACTGGGCTGAAAGAGAAATAGACTGTATATTTAAGCTGTGTGGGATGTGGTGGAAAGTAATACAGGGAGTTATGCTATTCCCAAGGTGTTTTCAGAAATTGTTCTTAAATCTGTGTGGTGTAGTATTGTACATTTTTGGATATAAAAACCGACCAATATGGGGCTTTTTGTAGCTGATGAAATGTTTGATATTTAAATCACATATTTGTTTTAGTGTGCCAGGTGGATTTGGATTGGCAAATAACTTTAAAAAAAAGCCCTGTTTTTTATTATGCCTTGATGGATACCCCAGATATCCAGCGTTTATTGTGGAGGGTTTGTTGAGTGCTCATCTTTTGCATCTGTGGTTATTTATATGTACTTTTTATATACAGATATTCCAGATTCAACCGCTTGAACAAATATTTACTTTTATTGAACATGGGGTTTGAATATTGTTTCTGTACAAAAATAGTACAGTTATGCTTGGATTGAAACAAAACTGGATGAAAAGTAAAGAAGGCTGAGTTTGTGGACTGGTTTTCTGAGTCATTCTTTGATTAATTATTTCTCAATGTGTTTTTGAGGGAATTCATTGTAGTAAACGCAATAATGGTGTTGTTTTCCTGATAATGGCTTTAAAATGGCATTGTAGTGAACAAAATGATAAGACGTGTTTATATTGAGCACAAAACTTTCACCATCTTGATTATTGACATGTGCATTAAAACGAAGAGACACCAATCATTGGGCTGACGAAGACGACTTGTTTCTGAACTGTGAACTGTAGCCTGTAGCCATCAGACAAGATGTTTCTTTACTTCTCTTCATTCGCCTTTCACATTGTTTGCCTGAAGTTTTTGCCCCATGCCCGCAAATAGCATCAACAATCGAGAGATCCCGATCTCCCAGCCCTGTTTTATACCAAAATACAGAAGTTTCCTGTAGCATCTGCCTTTAGCAACATACATGCTGGCTTCAACCATAAGATTAGGCCAGATAAGCATAACGTTGAATGGAAAATCACTGCAACTACTTTGAGCATGATAATACCATCGGGAGACTTTTGCACTGATTAGCTCAGTTTAAATACAATACAATAAAGTCTTTCATAGATTCATATTAGCACATACAATTGTAGATGACATTTATAAAACATCGACGCATCTGTCGACCACTTTCTCTGTATACTATGATCTTGGTCATTCATGAATTGATACAAAATAATAGATTGTGACATTCACAGAGCTTCTGTAAAAAAAAAAGTAGATTTTTCAGAGATTTGCTTTGACCATAGACGGTAGAAGGAATGAAAAACTGACAACGCCCATAGTCTTAGCCTTATTACGGAAAAAGACATTTAGAGCTAGCCCGAACCAAAAATGTGGAGCCAGATTTATGAAAATGTGTATTCAGGGACAGAAAGCAGCTGATTGGTCTGATGATAGGGGACAAAGATCAAAACATGAGGAAGGCAGAGCTCTAAACAATGGAGTTTAAAAAAAATCTTCAGCGTCCTGCCACCAACACTAATACAAAATGAATTTCTTTGACTTTAAAAACAACTTATGAATCTGGATTTTTTTTTTCATACGTCCTCAATGTAAAGCAGGATCTATTGCCTTTGCCTAATTGTTGTTAAATTTACCCATATAGAATTTGCTGGAAAAAACAAGTCTACCTTTTCCAAACTGATGCACTTGTTTTTCATATAAAGAGGTAAAGAATTAACTTTTTCTTTCTCTTAGCACCACTGCGATAGGGCAGCTTTTAAGTTAAATATAGGCCACAGTTTTCACAGTGCGAATGGGCCCAGTTTGTTTCTGCGTATCTAATTCAGCCTGATTCAACCCCGGCTCTCGTGAGTCGTGTGAACTCTACACGAGTGCATGACGATTGTGTTCAGATAATCAGCACACTCTCACATCCAGAGATTAACCCAACCGCAGAATATTCACTTCAGCTTCGCCCAAAACTGACCAAATTTTCATTTGTCTGAACCTTGCAATATTTTGTTATCAATTTGTATTTATTTATTATTTAATGGACAATTTTAATGAACATACATGCAAATACAAACATAACAGAAAGGGAAGAAACCTCAATATCATATTAAAATCCATTAAAATCCATAAAATCCTCTTCTGAAGAAAAAAAAGTTACTGTAGAATGGTCTAAGTCCATGTTCCACAATCCACAGGTTTAGTAGCATGTGTCCTCGCTGTAGAGATTACACAATATCTGCAAAAGCCATGACCCACGAGATGAGGCGATGCTTAGCGATTTAAGAAAATGTGTCCATCTAAAATCTAAGATAACGTCGGTTTGCAACTGCATAATGCAACTTCATCCCACACATTTCTGTTTCCTGATGATTCACTAATGTTCCATTTAGAAGTCGTCTGGAGCCTCTCAGTCACATTATTATGGCTTGGATGAGCACCTTAATAAAATGTCCAAACGAGTTTCATTGTAAACATGATTGTGATTTAGTTTTTGAACGTACTTACTACGTATCTTGCTTTGGTTTAGCAAGGTGTAGGGCCACAAAAAATGATACAGGGCCTCAATTGGCTGTGGGCCTCATTTTAAAGTTAGGCACCCCAGTTGGCGCAATGGTGTTTGTTTTTCTAAAAAGCTGTTGTTCAAGGCTCATTATTTTTGTCTTAAGAAAAACATTTGTTGATTACATTATTTGTACACTATATTGCATGCATATTTCCCAAATGTAATTACTGACTTCTATTGATAGATGGCTAGATTCCACGGGTGCAGTGGAGGATTGATGGTCAGATGTGACTGGTGGACCTCATTGGTCTTATTCATAGGGTAATGGTTTTTTGGTTGGAGCTGTCAGCGGCCTGTCTTCCTCCATATATAAAACAAAAAGCGCTCAGGTTTGCATGATAATGTTGGCAGCTGCCTGAGGTTGCCGCCTCCTGACCCCCCTCCGCACTGCCCATTCATAGGGTCACATGCTCCATTCATTCGCCGCTCTTCTCGTGGAACAACGCCTGTGTGTTTGCATTGAGCGTGTGTCCTCACATGACGGGCTCTTAATGCACCGAGACACACTCAAAAATAACAGTTCAAAGTTTGTTATTGAAGCAAATTCAGTTGGCTCCAGTTTTTGTTTCTTTTTCATGGAGGTGAAATATTGTTGTTTGTTTAATGTCCCTGCTTCCCTGGTTATGCACAGGGAATTATAATGCTCCTCTGGACCGTGTTCATGGTAATCCTAGACTGAGGCCAAACGAGCATCTCCTGCTCCTTCCCCAAACATGTCCCTCCTTTCATCTCTGTTGTCATGGTGACGACTGAGTGCCATGAATCGGGTGAATTGGTATAGATTTCTCTCTCTCTCTCTGCCCCAAATCCAGCCCTTTAGGATAGTGTGGTTTTGTTCTTTGTGACAACAAGGGTTTTCATTCACATTTATTAAAAACTTAACCTTTTGTTTGTGCATCTTTTTGTAAATTACACTTTTGCCGTTTAGGTGTAATGCCAAATAAGATAAGTAGTAAGAAAATAGTATTTGTATTTGCATAGCTATAGCGCATTAAGTATGCATAACGTAGGCATAGAGTGGCATATAATGTATTTTAAGCCCAGAAAGGGAAATCAATCCAGTGTATGAAATAAAATGGTAAATTTGTTCACAATTTTTCCCTCGCTGATGAGGGAAGGTCTATGAGCGGAGATGCTCTGCACTCTGGACACAGGTGAATCTGTTTCTTTATGGACCAATGACTGTTCCACTTGTTTTCATTGTTTGATTTTCTAATCTGTTGATTGTAATCATCTGTTTTTATAATTTGCTAAATGATTGTTGACTTTTGTGATTTTGGGCAATACAAAATTAAAAGGATTTGATTTATGTCTCTGCATCAGGGGCCTCTGTTCATATGGGGTCGCATTCATTAAACCAGAGCAGCACCTCGACAGTTGAAAAGGCCAAACAGGACTTTCTTTATGAGGCTACTAAGCTATAGCCGAGAAATCAGGGAACTCCTGACTGGAATGGACCAAGTTTAAAGATTTTTGGAGAATTTGTCAAAGATGAATTAGTTGCATGGTGACCCAAGTCACTTAAAATGGCTTTTATTTTCATTTATGAGCCCAAACCATGATCTTGGCTGGAAAATTTGATTGAATATTGGCTCCAGCAAATCTTTATGGATCAATGTGAATCCTCTAATCCAGTATTGATGTAGAATCTCTAACTCAAGGAAAACCTATCTTCTTTTAATGGTTGTGATGCTCCTCAAATGAACTAAATATATCATAGTTTCAGGACTTTCCTTATGTATTGTTTTTCCATTGTAAGATTAGAATATAAAATTTGAACAGAAATTATCCAATGATGAACATCCCAGTGCCTTCTCTGTCCTTAGTTCTTCTTCAGCGAAGAGAAACTAATACAATACAATTCATTTAAAAAATCCAGTGTGTGAAGCACAATAGTTTCGTTCAAGACAGTTGCCAGCTCAATGTACAATTATCCCTTATCCTTGCTGCCTGACGGTGTGTGGGGTGTTACCGGAGGAGAGGCAGCTTCTACAGAAAATGACTGCTTTATCGCAATCCTTATTTCCTGTTCTTGTCGGTGTTGGCGGTGCAGAGTCTGGCTTTAATGAAAGAACTGCAGATAACATCAAGCTTCACCTGCGCATGGGTAAAGACCACCTGACCACACAGACAGCTGCCCACACACTTCTGCATCTCTTCATTTTGTTACAATCAGACTATTGTATACCTGAGCAAGTAACTGTCACTTTTCATTTATTGTTTCTTGAAATACATTCAGAAAATTAGATGCGTTTTAGTTTTTTTATTATTATTCTACATGTTGCCATCCTCTGCAAGAAGCCTGGTTAAATAAAGGTCAATAAAAAATGATGGATTCACAAAGATTTACTTTCATCTTGCCTTGTTTACGCTGCTTTAATAACAATTACAAATGTAATGAGCCTCTGTAGACTGTGTTATTTTTATTCAGACATAATCAGATATTAAACTATTCTAAACTAGATTCTCATTTAGACTTAATCAAGTAAGAAGAAGGAAGACCTGGATCTGTATCTAAACTAGCAAACCACTGCGGTAGAGTATAGTACTATTTGTTTAAAAAAATTAAGCTTAAAAAAAGCTCATCTGAATCATTGCTGGTGTTGAAATTGATATTGAGCCTCAAGTCTGTTCACCAGTATCAAAATCAAGTTATTTCAAACGTTAGTAATATGACAAATTATTAATTATTATTACAAATTATTAATGACAACTATTAGAATGTAGGAAATCCTCATATATTGTCATAGATTGTCTTTGTCATTCAAGGGTATGAACTGCTATAAACCAATATATAGATAATAACATATGAATACATTATAGATATTGAGCCAAAGTATATAGTACCATCTATATTGGACATTTAGTATTGTTTGTGAGTTGCAATACTAGTACCACTGCGGCACCCTGCTTTGTACTGTGTCTTGTAAATGACAATGTTGAGAGAGGACAGATGATAAACTGGCGAAACGTGGGCGTCTGCTACTTCTTACTTTTCTTGCTGTGACAGAGGTCAGCTGAGTGACCTGTGAGTTCATTGTGGACTTACTGGACTTTAAAGCATTCTATTACATTATTTAAGGAGCATTTTATAGGCCCAGGGCAGTAATAAGGATTGATTTAAAATAATATCCTTGTGACCAAGGCACAGTGTATTTTGCAATTTTTTATTTAGGTATACAATAGTCTGATTTTATTTAGTAATTGTAAATGCGTTAATGTTTATAATGTAGTCATCTTGATATTATTGAATATACTCAGGTCTTGATCCATCTGAAAGGAGTCTGCTTTGTTGGCTTCACAACCTCTAAATCTGACGAGACGCAGTTCTGTCTAGTTTCTCAAAACGTGTCTGTTCTCTCTGTTATCTTCACCAATATTTAAATGTAGTTCCACTGCCCTATATTTAAATAATGGTTTTGATATATTAGCCCACGTTGTGTTTGTTTCATTAATATGTATCATGTTGCTGTGTGGTTAGTATAAGTGCTAAGTGAGTTCACTTTCTACAAATATGCTAATAACCCACGTAGTAGTGTGTCTTTCCTGTGGAATCCCCCGAGGTTTCTTTGAAGATGCTCCCAATTCCCTCTTTCTCTTGCCCCTAAACGCAAGTGAAGGAGGGGGAAGGGCTCCGTCAGTCTGGAACCACCAGGCAGTTCATTTCATTTAGATTTAAGAAAAGTGATGTGATGTGGAGATGACTGCTGCAATGGCAAGGGTTTTAATAGTCGTAGTCGTATTAAAAAACACCTCTGTTTTTGAACCAATACAATTAGTTATTGTTAGGGATTTTTTGTTGTTGTGATTGTTTTGCATTCTGTTAACACTGTCACAATCAATCAGCAAAGTATTGAAGAAGATGACATGTCTGGGATTGCGTCTTAAATTCAGACAGAAGACATGTTTTATTGTCGATGGTAGAGACAGCACGAACACAGAATGCAAGTGTATTATACAGAGCAGAGGCATGGAGACCTCCAATCAGCAGCTTCCACGGTGCCAGCAGAGATAGTCAAAACATGAAGTGGAAAAGTACAGGCTTCTGCACATTGATAGAATGATGAGTTTAACCTTAACAAAAGTTGCTTAAAAGTGTTATGAAATCTCACAGTATTTATTGCACCACAACTGATTGTACTCAACGTAACAAATATATGGACAAATACAATATCATGCAAAATCTTTTTTGGGTTTTTAACCATGTTGCAACATAGTAACCGCCGTAAAAAACGGCTCAATCTTGAAAAACTCACAGTCAAGCGGATTAATTATCTTGACATGTGGTTACAGACATTTTCTGCAGGGTTTGGCTTTGCTTGATCCCAGCATAGAAGTTGCATTAAATATGCAAATATGGAAATTATGAAAATGAATGTGATGAGCTGATGACATGAAGAGACTGTCCCTCTGTTGGAGGTGATGAGGAGGAGGAGGAGGAGGAGGAGGCTGCATGCGAGGTGCTATGGAAATGCAGCATGATTTCACATTCTAAAACGTAAAATGCCAAAGTTCATATTTTCCAGATCCTGTGTTGGGAAATAAACACAAGGGGGCGGGCCCTTGCAAGGCCGTAATGATGAAAGTCACAACTAAAAACCTCAGTCAAAGAATAACAGATGCATATTACTTTAATAATGTAATATATATATATTTATTTAACATTTGTTATTTAAATCCTCTACATATCTTTGCTTCCAGAGTGCCCCAGCCTTCCTGGTGACGGTAAATGATGAAGGTGTGATCGCCGTGAGACTAGAGCCGTCAGATTTACAAGAGAACATCAGCTCGTATGCGGCCCAGTTCAGTGGAGAGCCGCACATCAGTGTGGTTCAATTCGTGAACACCAGCGAGCCGCTTCTGTTCAACACTTCTCTCCATGGAGTGTGTTACACTGTGGGACTGCTCACCAGACGAGGCCAGTACTGGTCCAAGCCCATCAAGACCGCATCTGTCCTCACACGTAAGTAACCACACACCAAGGAGAGCGTGGGCGTTTGGACCAACATCTCTGTGTGTTGTCAATATTGATCAGAGAGTTGTGTGATGAGGCTGGTGCTCTGGGAATTGGGTGGCAGCTCTGATTGCCAACCCCCGACCCAGAAACAGATTAAAGGGAGAAGTATGGATGTATGGAGTTGTGTGACAGTTTAATCATCTTATTGTTTGGTTAACATGGAGCATATAACTACAATAGGTATAATATATTTCTGTGTGCTTGTATTTATGCTTGTGAACGTGTGTCTTATCCTCAGAGCCTCTGCCCTTGCGTAGTGTGCGGTTATCTGACTATAGGGACTCCCCTGAGACGGGAGTGGTGTTTCAGATTGATCCTCCGCCAGGAAACGTCTTCAGTCGTGTAAACATCAGCTACACTGAAGGACAAGAGAGGCGCTTCATGCTCTACAAAGGTTTGTTCCACCTGCTGGTTTATCTTGCTCGTAAATGTTATCATTACTGCAATGCAAGCAGTACAATGACATCATCTCCGGACCCCACACAACCAACTTTGTTAAAGTGTTCTACATTGGTTCAAAATAGATCAATAAAGTTTAGTTTAGTTTAGTTTATTTGAGCCTTTTTCACAAACATACTTTGCATCATTACATGATCACTGTTATAAAATCTCAACAGTAGTAGGCCGAAGCAAGAAAGCTTATAAGTGTAAAAATATATGAAGCCATGGGATTGGTTTAGATCAGATTCAAAACCAGCCTGAGAGCACTTTTATACCAGGTACTTCCACCGTTTATTATTTAATGAAAGAGGAATATTCAGCTTTTTGGTCGTGTAATATTCACCAAAAATATATTGTTTTGAGTTTGTAAATGTTTGTCTAGTATTTTAAAATTAATGTTTTGGATTTTTACGTTTTATTATTTTGTTTGTAACGCTTTGTTTATTCCAGCTGATGTCATGATTTTTTGTTTGAGAAGTCACAGTGGTGTTAGGTCGTGCATTTCAGGATTGTATGGCGTAAAATTAAGCTGTAAATAGAATGTCTGTTCACCCTTTTCTCACTCCTTAACTTATCAAAAATATCTGAGATTTAACATGGTTAATAAGTTAATAAATTAATAAATGTGTTTCAAAGATGTAAACTGATGTAAGTGACTAGTGGACACTCTTTGATGATTTTACTTTCACAAACAAAGCCACCGAACCAAAATTGGTCCAGTTAATGTGAACCAGACCAGTGTGAATGAGGCCTTTCTATCCTTTTGTGGGATTGGGTTAGAAATGTATGAGATTTTCAGAGATGCTAATAATCGTTCATTTATGCTTGTCTTGCAGATTTCTTTAGGGGAAAGACTGTTTTTCGACACTGGTTACCAGGAGTGTGTTATCGTAACATCACTTTTCAGCTGATCTCTGAGGCCACTGTGAACCAAAATACACTGGTTACACGCAGTGACATCACCCACACCACGCTGCACCACAGGACGGGTGAGAAAAACCTCATCCTTCATTTATTATGAAGACTCGTAAATGTCACTTGTGTAGGGAGCATTCATGAGGAAACCAGCTATTATGAGCATTAAAGCTACCTAAACTGGAAACTAAAAAGATGTAGCAAAACTCACAAAACAGGTTGGGTTGGGTTCCACCTTTAGTTTGTCCCATAAATTCATTTTTAGCTTGTCACATGTTTTAGATAAACGTTTTATTTAAAGAGAGGACTCAGCTCTCTGTTTGGTTGTTGTCTGATTTTTTCACTTATTGTTACTGTAACAGATAACTTTCTATTGGGACTAACACAAATGTATATATTAAAAAAAAGGTTAGATACTTTAAGGCCTGTTGTTAATTATGCATTTTCCTACGGGATAGAATTACATATTCAACAGTAAACCCCCACACTATTGTATAATATCTATTCTGCATAATGTAGCACCATCAAACCATGTTTTTGGTACATTAACACGTTTCTCCTGTATCCTCTTCTCTGCAGTGCCATTCCCTCCTCTGAACATATCGCGTAAAATAGTCCACCTGAGCCAGGGAGCCCTGCCAAGTCTAACCCCAAAGACCCAGCTGTCTGATGAGAGCCTGCAGATCCACAAACGTCATAGTCGCGAGGCTGCAGCTCCAGATGAGCCTCAACACCATGAGAACAGTTTGGATGAAGCTGTGTTGACCGTCACCTCTCTTCCCTTTGTTCTAACCTTCAACGCTACAGACTGGAACAACGTCAGCAGCACGGACACGACAGAGGAACCTCAGACTGAAGATGCTGTTCCACTGGATAAAGACGAGGACTTTGTCAATGCTTTTGTTCCAGATTATGAGGACTCTAATGAACCAGGCTCAGCTTTGGGTCTCCCCCTCGAGCCCTCTGTGCTGTCCACCAAACTGCCCATCCTGCCCATCCTGCTGGAGCTACGCTGGCTGCCCCCCCGACCTCCTACAGCTTATGACGGCTTCAACATCTACATTTATAGAGATGGTGAGAGGACTTTCAAACCAACTGTTTCCACTGCAGTACAACAGAAACAGTCCGAAATCATGGCTGAAACTTTGAAACCAGTTGGCTTCGATTACAATTCACTGCCTCAATTTTTGGGTTTAAATAATTATTCATTAGTTTGAACATGCTGTCACTTGCTGTCAAAGTAGTATTCAATCATTTTTTCCGATTCGTGAATGAACGAATCCAGAATGAGCGAAATGAATGAGCAAATCCAGATCTTAGATTTCAATGTCACATCTGAAGTGATCTTCTGATTTCCATGTGATATTGTACAAATATATATTTGTCAAGTTTTATCATCACACAATAGAAATAATTTTACTCGAACAAATTTTATTCTGCTAAGTAGTTAAATAAGCACTAATTAAATCCTACTTTTCAATATTAAGAGATACTAAGGGATTTTAGTTGTAGAGAACTTTTTACTCTTTTTAGGCTTATCTACTGTTATTTTCCTTCAATTCTCAGGAAACTCCACAGAAACTGCCACAGTGGATGAAAACACTCATGAGTTCTTCACTGAGCTAACCGAGCCCGGGACGTACCAGGTGCAGGTGACCACGCTGAGCTCCTCTGGGGAGTGCGAGGCCAGGGAGAGCGCCACTGACACAGGCTTCACCTTCTACCTCAGTGAGTCCAGCCTGTGATCCACTGTCTGCTACAGGAGAGCTGTGATTACACTAATCAGGTTGCAAAAACACTAATCTGGTTGTTTTATCACTTTTATCACTGAAAGTTCTGTGACTGTGTGGTTCGGGAAGCATCACAGCCAAAGAAAGGAGAGCTCTAAACAAGGTGCTCCACTCTGCAAGTTTGTGTTCTACATGAATCCAGACTCGAGGTCTTAGAACAGGCTTGTCCTAACTCCTGCGGCCCACTGTCATTTGATGTGACCCTCTGGTGGGGACCTTATGTTTGTTTTATTTACTTACTTTTGGAGGCATTATTAGGTTATATTTAGTTGCTTTTGGGTCCTTCCTTGTTTTATTGGTGTCATCCAGCCAACTTTAGCTAATAAACAATAAATCATGCTATTACTCGTTGTAAAGCTCAGCCCCTTCAGAATCGCTATGGCGCTAATGTAGCTGTAGCGTGAATCAATATACAATGCCCAGATCAGCCCAAGTTTAGTCAAAACAGTTTTACAATCCATGTTGTCTGCCCTTGGACAAGTCGGGCAAACTAAAGTGGCTCTCTTACTGAAAAGTTTGAAGACCCCCATCTTTGAATAATCAAAGACTCTTCTGGCTTACCCGGTAAAGCCATGTTCCAGCTTATTCCCTCTGGCAGGAGATATTGTTTGCCGAGAAGCAGAACATCTTGATATGCTAAGAGCTTTTTTCCTTTATGATCTCCTCATGATTTCCTTACTTTTTAGCTTCTTTTTTTATACGCTTGTCTGGTGCACACTTGGGTACTTTTGCACATGTGTTCTACTGTGGTTCTTCTGCAAACAACAAATAAACTGAATCTCTGCACAGGTCCCAGTGGAGAGCTGCTGGAGGAGCTGAGGGAGCGTCCACAGATGGTCAGTGTGCGGCTTCTGGACTCCAGCACCGCTGCCGTGTCCTGGGCCCCGTCCTCCGAGAGCCACAACGGCAGCGTGGTGTCAGTGATGTCCACCACCTGCCTGAAGCCCAGCCCGAGCCAGCGCATGGAGAACACCTACTGCAGCGAGGTACAGTGACGGGGAAATGGAAATCAGAAACATATATGTACAAATTACACTGAGTAGAAATCTAGTATCCAGATTACAAAGGTCATGTCGGTTTATTTGTTTAGCACATATACAGAAAGCAGCGTTTGCCCAAAGTGGGAGAAAATAAACATAGTTTAAAAACCAAGAGGTGGTTACAAAATGAAATAAAACCAATTTAAACATGAGTCGACTTTGGCTAAAGTGAACCAAATGAGTGTTTAAGCGTCTTTGAGTGTCATGAAAAGCGCGATATAAAACAATGCATCATTATCATTATTATCTTGAGTGTGGCAGCTGTGCTGCCCGTATGGACAGTGGCTGTTCCATAACTGAAGGGCAGCTTCAGAGAAGGTCCTGTCGCCTCTTGTTTTGATCCATTTGGGAGGAATGTATTGTGTTACTTTAAGTTTATTAGTATAGCACAGTTCATACACAAAACAACTCAAAGTGCTTAACAAAACAAGATGGATACAATCATGAGAGAAGGTACATTTTTGAGTTGTATGCACAGCTAAACAGAACTAGAGAAAAAGCCTGTCTTACATTTTCAGGACGACTTCCAGATTTTAGCTGCATAAATGTTAAATGCTGCCTCCCCCTGTTTAGTCCTGACTCTGAGTAGAGGAGCACTGCACACATAAATAATGCATAATGATAACAATAGTTTAGAAATTTTTGTTAATGTTTTTACAATGTATATCTTTTTGCTTTTTTTGTAGGAAAACTCAACCAGTGACATCATCACCAGCCTGATGCCTGGGGCCCAGTACAGGGTGGTGGTGTATCACACGAACGGGCCGCTCCTCAGCCCGCCTTCTGAACCTGTCATCATTGATATCGGTCAGATATCAGTTATTCTGCACTTTGAGACATAACTTAAGCTGGGGACACACTACACAAATTCTGCGGAGCTGTATGCTTTATGGGGTCTAAATGTTTTTAGCTGCAAGTGGCATCAAAGTGCAGATGGCTGTCGCACACACAGTTAGACCTGTCAAGATAATTACTGTAAAAACTTATCGTTCAGTAACTGATGGAAAAAAACATATATTTGCCCCTCAATATTTTATCTGTCGATGCTTCAATAAGACTACATATTTGTGCTGTTTATTTTCATATCACATGCATATCACGATCCTTTCCCGAATCTGTCAAAATTGGTTTGCGACACAGTGTGTACACAGTCAAACTATTAAGTCTCAAATTGTCATTGCGTGCTTTTTCACTTTTAACATTGAAATTATCGTAACAGACCTGCTTGCGTGATTGAAAATATGGGTAAAAATCAGTATATAAATTGTGTTGTATGTCCCCACTTAAGGATGTGATATATTGTATACTACTTGCTGAACTGGGGTGTATGTTTCAGAGCCCACAGGGGTGCGAGAGCTGGCTGTTTACCCCCTCAGCCCCACTGCAGTCATTCTCAGCTGGCAACGACCGTACAACGTGGCCTTTCGTAAATACGTGCTGCAGACGTTCTTCTTCAACCCTGTCACGCTGACCTCCGAGTGGACAACGTACTATGAGATCGCCGCCACTGCTTCTGTTATTGCTTCTGTGGTAGGAGCTTGAACGCCACTCGCTGTATAAATAACCAAACCACCACTTTAACCATTGTAATCATTTAAATTTGATCCTCAGAGAGTGACTGATCTGCTGCCCGCTTGGTATTATAATTTCCGTGTTTCTATGGTGACATGGGGCGACCCGCCGCTCAGCTGCTGTGATAGCTCCGCGGTCAGCTTTGTTACAGGTACTGAAGATTACAAAAGGAATAAGGTGTTTGCTGTACCCAATTTTGATTCCCACATTTCAAAAGATAGAGTGATAGAGATTTGGGTGGATGGATAAATAGATGGATAGATCTACTGGTATAGAAAACTACTTATGGACTCTCAGCTGATCCTGTCATACAGTAATAAACATGCACCGTATTAAGTATTAGTCAATTAGATAAAAAATTATGAAATAATAAAAAAATATATCATATAAAAAATGTTCATTTCAGACAAAGCTGAAATAGTTTAAATTCAATGTATTCTTGTATAGCCTTAAATCACAACAGTAGTTATCTCGGAGGACTTGGCAAAACACAGATCAGAGAATCAACAGACAAGAAACTAAACGATAAAAACACTGCAGTTTGTTAGTTTTAGTTTCTTTTGACCAATTTCCACAGTTTCAACGCACTACATTTCCTGTTTTTGGAATCAAATTAGACGCAGAGAGAAAACTGAAATTCCCCCTCTGTGGGAAGAATAAAGGTTCTCTTAGCTTGTCAGACTGGAATCAAAAATAACCCTTTTTTAAATCAATGACTATATGGAGAAAAATTGAGTAGAAGCGTCTGTGATTGTTTGTGCAAATAATTCCTCTTGTGTGCTGAGTAATGGCCTGTGTCTTCCCAGCACCTGAAGCTCCTCACATTTCATCCGTGGATTATTCTCACGGTGTCCTGTACATCCGCTGGACGTACGGGGAGCTCTTCATTGACCTGTCGCACTCCAGGATGCTCCACTGGCAGATCGTGGCTGTTGGGAAAAAGGGCCCTGAGAAAAGCTACTCTATTGATGTGAGTCATTAATTTGCTCTGTGCATGTCTGTCTGTATAGTGGGAAATGTCTTGGCATTTCAATACGGATGCGGCTTGTAGCAGGTCGTTGGCTTGAGGTCGGTCTGGCTGGCTATTGATTATCTCCTCTGAGAACAGTAGATGGTCCAATTAGTATTGTAGAGGAAGGATGCACTGTCTCTACCGCTGTAGCGCAGGCTGATTTTCTTCCCCTGTCCATTAAAACATGTCAATTGTGCACTGTAACTGAAAAAAAAAAAAAAAAAGTCACTCAGAATTGTTGTTACTTGTTATGACGGTGTGCTGGACAGTGTCTTACATTCACTTGTTTGATGTTGAGTTTTTTCACAGGAAGTTTAGATTGATATAGAGATTTGTGTGGATGGATAAATACAGTAGATGGATAGATCTATTTATCCAGTCCAGACTTTTGCAAATGTATTCCAATGTGATTTATTGCAAATGGCAAATAAATGAATGTAGATCTGATTTGGCCAGCATATTTAGGGGGAAGTTGTTTAGCTTGAATTTAGCTTGAATCTGATCTAAATCTCTTACAAATGTGGTAGGGAAATTATAATTGATCGGAGTTTACGGATTGCTAAGGCCAGGCAAAGGAGAAGCTATATTTTGTCTATTTCTCCATTAGGCTTCAGCTCCGCCCATTCCCATACACAGGGCTCGTATCTTATCGTTTGTGTCTGTGTCTGAAGGTCACGCGTAATGTAATGCGTGCCAGTCTGCCGCTGCCTCCCGGAGACATCTACAACCTGACGGTGACTGCATGCACCGAGCGCAGCAGGAACACCTCCATGCCCAACATCATCAAACTGGGTCAGAATCAACTCTGTACCTTTTTTTAGGCCCATGTGCTCAAAAACAAATGCAACACACAAAGTCTTTATATCTTTTCATTCATTGTGTTTCATTGTGTTTACTATCAGAAAGATTTTCATTAAGAATTTTCAATACACAAGTCAGCTTAGTCTATTAAATTGTTTTAGATCAATACTGCATTTTAAACTATTCGAAAGCTATATCGTTTATCCACGTTTGTCATTATAGAACTGTATATAGACTATATACTAAAGCTCCGGTGTTGATTTCATTGACAAAACTATGACAAGAATATTTTGTGGACAAAGACGAGACAAAAACTATATAAAATAACTTACTAATGATTTAAACGTTGACAAAAATAAACTGCGTCACATCAACAAATAAAAGACGAAAACAAGCACTGACAGAAAACAGACTGAATGAGCAAGATGCGGGATGAGAGCCAATCACAGCACTTGATTTAATTTTAGTCGACTAAAATTAAATGAAAAACAAAATTTGATGACTAAAGCAAGACTAAAACTAAAACACACTGTCTTTTGGAAGAATAAATAATCAACAATAACCAATTATTTTATGAGTAATTAATCAAAGAACTTGTTTCAGCCCAAGAATGAGCATTATTTTGGTTTTGCAAGTTTCTCTCATCAAAATTGTTATCTCTTTTTCTTTTCTTTTTTTCTTCATAATTTGCATAACTGTCTACTTCCTTCCTCTTGCCAGCATGCAGTTTTAATCTTAAGAGGAAGTTTGGAAGTGAAGTCTTACATTTTTCTCCTGCTCAGAGCCGGCTCCTGCAAAGTCTCTGTTTGCCGTGAACGCCACTCACTCCTCTGTGACTCTGTTGTGGACCGAGGAGGGAGTTGTGGACTACTACCAGATCTACTGCAAACCCAACAAAGCAAGCAAGGAGTTCAAGGTAACACGCTCTGAACGCCATAACGTTTGTTTCACTGAAATCATCAAATCCTTTCTGACTTTCTAACCATGTCTTCAGACCCGTGAGCCTCAAACCGTGATCTCTCATGTGGCCACGATCTCTGGGTTGTTGCCCTCCTCCACATACAACTGCACAGTTACCAGCTTCAGCTACAGCACTCCCAGCAAACCGGCCTCCATTACCATCAAGACCATCGGTGGGTTTGAGACTTTATCTATGTGCAGCTACACCGACTCTTTTCTCTGTTTCTGCCTCACTTCAATCAATCAACTTTTATTTGTACAGCGCCTTTCCTACACAAGGCAACACAAAGCACCTCACAACCCATATCACATCAGGCATAAATCATAAACAATAAAATCTATATTAACATTCAAAATATGATTAAAATCCCACAGGAAATCAAACACAAACATTTAGATCACAAGAAATAATGATAACATAAACAATAAAATCACACAAGTAATTAAAAACATGGGATTAAAAAAAATAGGCATAAATAGGCACAATGCATAGAAAAGAGTAAAAATCTAATCTTTCAGTTGTAGACTTCAAATGTATCTGCTTTGTCCTTGTATATATTGTATATTAACAGATGTTTAGTTTTTCTCACAATATTATCTTATTATTCTCAGATTGTGACTTTATTGTTATTTTTATTGTGAAATACTATGCACACTACTGTGACAACGCAATTTCCCTTGTGGATCAATAAAGTCTAAGTCTAAGTATGCACTGCTAAACAGAACTGTTTTTAACCTGGAACCTGGACACTTCCTGCATGTGATGTGATGGAGGCGTCTGTCCTGTTTGCCTGGTTGTGTTATGTTTTGGTTGTGATTTCTTTGTTTTTCTTTTATCTTTTTTTAATTGGCATACACAATATATTGCAGCATGGACATCCAAACACATATGTACATTCAGACACATTTGAACGTCGCTATCTTTTTAGGAGCCCGTCCATACTAATACAACACAAGCATTTACATAGGGTCAGGAGGTGGGGAAGGGGGTTCAGTGTGCGTGCGTGTATGTGCGTATTCACTTTTTGTGTATTGAATAGGTATTCAAGGGTTTTGATGGTTTTCTTTTATTGACCGGTGGTGAGAGAGGGGAGAAAGAAAAGAAAGACTGTAGTAATGACGATAATAATAATTAAAACATTGTTGTGGCTCTGATTTCTTTTGCAGCTAAAGAAATGAACCCCAGTGTTGCAGCTATTTCTGCGCTGGCAGTCCTCAGCATTCTTCTCATCAGCCTGCTTGTGCTCTTCCTCCTTGTCCTGCGCAAAAAACATCTGCACATGACCAGGTAATGACGACACCAGGTCACTACGGCTGAAGGAACAATGTTAGACTTTTCTGCTTTGTTTGCATTATGTATAGTGAAAGTACAATGCGTTTTTGTGTTGACCAATAATGGGAATTTGTGGTGTTGTAAAAGGGCTCAATAGAAACGCATTATTGTTAGGTTCTGCCCCCAGATCTTCTCCTGCGCTGTTCAGCACCGACAAAATAGAATAAACACGGGTATGGGTCATTCCCACTGAGGAAAAAATTAGAGGTTTCGCTCAAAAACCCCAGGTCGCCTCTTCCTCACACACTGAGCCACACATGCCCTTTCACCTGCCTATAGCCTGTTGCTTACATGTGGGTCAGGTTTAAAAGATTATAACAGGGGATGTCAAACTGCTTCCAGAAAGGGCCAGTATTTCTGCAGGTTTGAATTCCAACCAAGCAGGAGCAGAGCAGATTCAGCAGACCCATTTCCTCAAGTCTTCAGGTTAAGATTGAGGAAAATGGGTGGAGTCTGGTGTGCTCCTGCTTGGTTGGAATTCAAACACACACCGGTTTGACACCCCTGTTATAAAACTATACACAAGTTACACTGTCATCTTTATTCATATAGCGCTTTTCACAGACCAGAGTCACAAAGCGCTTTACAATTGTTGTGGGCATTTGTCTCTCAGTCCACACAGAGATGGGAGCGAGGTTACCAGACAGGAGGTGCATTCCAGACCTTGAACCTAAGACCTGGGGACAATATGTCATGTTTCAGTTTACGTTAGATAATTGGTTTTGCAGCAAACACATTTATTTTGACATGTTCTTGTCCTCCCTGAAAACCAAGGGCTCTATGTGTTTTTTTTATCATTGCATTTCTTATGTTTGAACTGTGTGATTCTCTGACCTGTGTTTGCAAATCAGCGGTTTTGTAAAGTCCTCTGAGATAACTGCTTTTGGGATTTAGAAGCGTCGAAGCCTATATTCTCTGCATGTATTCATAACTGCCTATTCTATATTCTATCAAATATCATATGTGAAAGTGAAACGAAAGCGTGTGGTGGAGAGCACTGGGCTTTTACGTGCCGCACGCTCAAACGTGGAGGGTCTGCGTTTCTGTACCAGCGACCAAACCCACACTTAGCACCAGGAGGAGGATTATCTCTGAGTGGGAGAAGTGGGCGTGACCAAACACAAGCATTTTAGTCGGCTGAGCTCCAGTCTGTAAAGGGCTTTATAGCAGAAAGTGGGGACAGATATATAAATATTAAGCATTATGGCGATTTCAATTGCCTTCGGTCACTTCCCCTATCCACTCTGATCCGTCATCAAATATATTAAACTTCCCTTTTGCAGCGTGAGATCAAACCCCTCAAAGTGACACTGTACTATCCTGTTCTCTCTGTTCTTTTAGGGACTGTGGAGCTGAAACCTTTGTCAATTTCCCCTCATTTGAAAGAGATGGCAAACTTCCCTATAACTGGTATGGAAAGCTTTCATCTGCTTTTGAAAAATGTGTTACTTTTTTATTATGAGAACATTTCATTGCTGCTGAAGTGTCTTTTTTTATAGGATGTCATTCATTAATGTGCTTTGTTCAAATCATGTTGGAGCGAACTCCCCTAAAGACCCAGTGTTGTTCAGCTTACTTGAGTTGTTTGGATTTGGGGGAAGATTAGGGTCTGAGTACGGCTCAGAGTACGACAGATTTGATACTGTAAGCCACTCTAGGATTTACGCCTTCTTTGTGAAAACTATTTTTAATATCACAGGAAATCATGTATAGGGTATAATAACTTTTGTGATTAATATAACAGCTGAAAGACGGTCAGTTAAGGCAGCATCCATCTGCTCTTGTACTTTACCTTTCATCACTAAAAGCACATGTCATCAAGTGTCTGAATGTGACGGTGGTTATGTTTTGCTTTGATTGTGCATGTTTGGCAGATGTCACTGTTTTTACCTGGTAGAACTGTTCTCTCCAATGACTCAGATATAACCCTTCAATATGAATATGTACCACCAAAATATGTTATACACAAGCAGTTCAGAAATATATAAACACAATTTAAACAATTCCAACATCAATTCAGGATGGAGGAGTGTGATAAACCACTTTTTGAACATGTCTGATTCATTGGAGACTCGACTTATCAGCACACGAGTTAGGGCTCATTATCTGATGTCACCTTTAAGTGACTGGGGCTTTAGAAATGGCTGTTTCACAGTGAGGGCGGGGATTGTTAAATGGGACAGAGTGACCATTGACGTCTGGCAGAAACAGATTCCTGTTGTCCGATTCAAGGACAAGGGAGGACTTTCTCAGGCCAGTGTAATGCATTGTAACTTTGTGTTCTGCACTAATGTGTAGCTCTTGCTACTGTACTAATGGAGCTCCATGTTCTGTCCCCAACCTGTCGCCCTCTGGTGTTTGTTTCCCTCTTATTTTTTTGTTGTTTTATTTTATTTTATTTTTTTATTTGGACCCCTTCAGGCGAAGGAGCCTCTTTGCCTTCCTTACCCTACTGCCATCCTGCCTTTGGACTGACTATCTTTTGGCCTTTTATATTAATCCTTGGTAAGTAAGAAACTACTGGCCAAAGCACTGTTTTTCAGGGGCATGTTGTAGTAGCCACAACCCACAGATAGAAGTCTGGTGTTGTTCCTGTTTGTTTCTCCTTGATCCAAAACAATGTATTGACTTAGAGTTGTTTCATTTGGTCTCACTCAAATTGAGTATTTAGTCAAATTGCTCCGATCAATCCGATCGGATGGACCAATCACATTTTCACTTTTGTTTTTTCTTTTGAGTGAACAAATGAAAACACACACAAAACTTAAGAAACGTTCACTATAATATTATTCCACAAATTCTTGGTACTCTCCATGTTTGTATCGTTGTGGACACTTCCAAATGGGTCAACAAATGTCACGTTGGCACTTAGAAACCTTTGTTATTAACTCTGAGTCGAGAAAAGTAGTTTAAAGGAAGGAGCAAGGGAGAGCAGGGCACCAGGAACGAAGGTGATGGGATGGCACCGGTCCCCGTCTCCAAGAGCTGAGCGACCCCTGCACTCCCAGAAGATGTGGATGCAGGTCCCAGTAGATCCACCAAGTGCTGGTCAGGGACCGCTTACACTTTATAGTAAAACGTATACGAGGTGTCAAAGAAGTCCCTTTTTTAAAAGTTCAAATGGATCGTTTGATGGTCCAGTTTTTGAAAACATGCCAAATTAAAAAGCTTTTTTTTTTTTACCATATATTACAAAAGAAAGTACTTGCTTATTATTTACATTAAAGTCATTAGAGTTATTCATGATTCAAAAATGATTTGTCTAGTCTATGATTGATACGCCCAGGATCAATGATTGTCAAAAATCCTGATTTGACCTATAGAATGTCATTTAATTAGTGAGTGGATCATAATCTAATCATTAAAACATCAGTAATCAATAAATGAATGCATTTAGGCTTTGCCTCCATGTGTTTTTATCCAAAAGGCTGAATGGTTCTCGGATGGACTTGGAGGGTCTGTCGGCTCATTTGCACCTCTGGGTGTTCTTACAGGAGAATGTTGTGTCCCAGGAGTTTGGGAAGTCATCAAAGAGAGACAATGAGACTAACACCAGACTTGTTTTTATGTTTCACGTAGTCCCACTACATGTGTCTCTGTCTACATGTATGTTCACTAACCCGTCGTACAGTAAGAAGCATGATGCCTCTGACTGCTGCATGCTGTCTTTTGTGCCAACGATCAACACTAGACTCTAGAGCGTTGTTTTTTGTTAACTTGTGCATGTTTCCGATAGACCTTGATAAAGAAGGAAGACTATGCAACACCGAGCAGACATTTTTTTTTTTCATATCAATAATTTCCTACGATATGCAGTCTATTCAGTTGCATGCCTATCACTGCATGCACATATGGGGCTGGCGTGGTCTGTGGTACAAATAATGTTGAAACATATAGACATAATTCTATAAATATATTTATCACAGACATGTTTGTACTGACATGACTTTACATTAGTATCGGCGTTGCATATTTCACTATGATTTGTATTTTCAAAGGCATACAATACATTCATCCTTGAACTACTATGTACTCGAATATCACATACTACATCATTAGTTACTTATAGTGATTGTGCCACAATTACATACAATATATGGACTTATTCTATTATTTTATAGGAGCAAGACAGCTTTAAAGAAAAGGAAGTTAACAAGGTAACACCACTAAAACTGTCTATAACATTGTGCTTCTTCTGTGCTTTTTGTATTTTATTTTTGCATTCACAGCATTTAACGTACGCTAAAAACCACTAAAAACCTTCAGAATGAATTAACTGAACCAAACCAGCTGAATAAATTTGCACTGGAGTGACTCAGGCTGTCAGTTCAGGATTCACCCAAATTTGGTCTCCATTGGGGTTCTATTTAATTTCTATTGTACTGTTGTATTTTGGGTTCTACTGCATTGTTTTTGATGAATACAGTATATGGTTAAATCTGGAATGGTCTCTCCGTTACACTTGCGCACACTTGTGTCTCCGCAGCCCGGTGCAGCTGGACGACTTTGATGCCTACTTCAAAGAAATGACTAAAGACTCGGCCTACAAGTTTTCTTTGCAGTTTGAGGTAGTTTAGCAAAACTTATCCGTGTCTCAATATCTCTGCAAGTGTCGCCCGTAGTGATAAGTCTGTTTTATAGGAACTCAAAAGTGTTGGATTGGACTTGACGCATGATGCCGCTGATTTGCCAATAAACAGGCCAAAGAACCGCTACACAAACATCCTTCCCTGTAAGCCTTAGTACTTTTACCACTTAGCATCCGGGTGTTCTATTGTGCTCTGTAACTATATCTATGTTTCTACAGATGATTTTAGTCGTGTGAAGCTCATCTCCATGCACAATGATGAAGGTTCAGATTATATAAATGCCAACTACATCCCAGTGAGTCCACTTAATAACACCATGTCCATGATATTCTGTATTACCTGACGAGTGGTGACATGATTATATTCTGTACTCTAGGGTTACAAGCACGGGAAAGAATATATTGCCACTCAGGGGCCGTTGCCAGAGACCAGAAACGATTTTTGGAAGATGGTCCTGCAGCAGAAATCACCAATAATAGTGATGCTCACACAGTGCAACGAGAGGAGAAGGGTATGTGCTTCTTTTGTCTGAAACTTTCACACTTACTGAGACTTATCCATATTTACACTATCAGTCTAGTCTCAGCTTGTTACAAAATGCTAAAGTAAATGCATATCAGTAGTTTTGCTGAGTTCTGAAAATTATCTCAGGTACAATGTAGCAACAATGTAATGTAATTCGCTGACCAAACTTTTTAGTAAGAGGGCCACTTTCATTCACCAAAATCTCCAAGGCATACAACCCGATTGGCTGGATTTGGGATGTTCTGAGCTTTAAAAGGAGTTATATATATATACGAATCTGATGTTGGCTGAATAAGTATAAGTATAGTCAAACAAAGTCAACAACTGGAATCATAATGTGTCTATGTTGGCAGAGCTGAAGTTGGCTGGAGACTACTTTATATTTGAAAAGGCAGAGGGCCACATAAAATGACATGGAGGCCCTTAGGTTGGACATGCCCAGTTTAAACATTCAACAATATAAAAGTGACACATGTTGCTAATTGTTAGTTCATAATTAAAACCCTTGTAACTTTCTGGTTGCTGTGGTAACTACCTCTACGTATCTGCTGACCGTGTCTAATGTAGTAATGTTGTAAATATATCTGGTATGTTAGTGTTAGTATCTTTTGGGCTTAATTAACATGTGTTGTGTGTGTTCCAGGTCAAATGTGATCACTACTGGCCCTTCACAGATGAGCCGGTCATGTACGGAGAGATCAGTGCGGAGATGCTTTCTGAAACAGAGTCGCCCGAGTGGACCATAAGGAAGTTCAGACTAGGATATGTGAGCTTTGACTAAAAGGGAATTTTCTGTGTCATGATTCACCAGGAACATTCTTGAACTGTTTTGTGTCTGCTGCCCCCTGCAGGCGGATGAAAGTCTGGATGTGCTTCATTTGAACTATACTTCATGGCCAGACCACGGCGTCCCAACAGTTAATGCAATTGAGAGCATCCTGCAGTTTGTCCACATCGTGCGTCAGCAGGCCAACAGGACCAAAGACCCCATCATTGTCCACTGCAGGTAATGTGTACTTTTCAAATACTAAAGGCCTCTTGTCTGTGGTCTGTTCACATCACTTATCTCTAAGCAGGAAATACAGTTCAGTTACACTTATCTTGAATGGATCATATAATGTATCTCATAAATCATAATTAATAAACCTAGCGTTATGTGTTGAGAGCTTTCTGTCTGATGTGTGTCTACTGTCTGCGCTTGTGTTTTAGTGCTGGAGTCGGCAGGACTGGGACGTTCATCGCCCTGGACCGCCTCATGCAGCACATTCGCGAGCACGAGTTTGTGGACATCCTGGGAATGGTCTCGGACATGAGATCCCACCGTCTGTCCATGGTGCAGACTGAAGTGCGTTATCACTGCAACTGAATGATTATGCCGTGACATAAATGAGATGTTTGGGCTGATTGTTTTTGTTTAAATGTCTCTTACAGGAGCAGTACGTGTTCATCCATCAGTGTGTTTTGCTGATGTGGCAGAAGAAGAAACAGTCCATCACTTCTGACGTTATCTATGAGAACGCGAGCAAGACATAATGATGGCCTTACGTCACATGTAAGTATATTTATGATGTCCAGTCCAGTGGTCTGACGGCAGATCTCCACACTCAATTTCAAATCCATCCATTCATTCATTTTCTTCCCCTTAATCCATTTCTTGGTTGGGGGGGGCGGTGGCAGTCAGAGCTACCACCCATTTCCCAGCCTATGACGTATTCAGTATAATTAATGGCATATATACCACGTGCCGGCCCATCAGCAAGAAGATCCTGGGTTCGAATCCCGGTCGAAACAGGGTCTCTCTGAGAGGAGTTTGTATGTTCTCCCCGTGCCTGCGTAGGTTTCCTCCGGGTGCTCCGGTTTCTCCTACCACTAAAAACATGCACAATAGGTAAATCCTCCTGCTCCTGTAGTCCTGACCAAGCCGAGTATCAATATAAAGATAAGATAATACTTAATTGATCTCACACAGGAGAAATTTACATGTCACATCTGGCATAGATAGAATTATTCAGATTTTTGCAAAAGACTGAAGTGTGCAAACATGTTAGAGGCAAAAAATATAATCTGTTCAGGATATATTATGTACAATAAAAAGTGGCAATAGTAGTGCAGGTTTTTAGTCCCAGTGCAAGTGACTTAAAGTTACTCATTGTACAGTCTGACAGCAATGGGGATAAAGGCCCTGCAGTAGTGCTCCTGTATTGCACTGTACTACGGCAACCACTGCTCCTGACAGACGCACGTATGGCATCAGGATGGGTCAAATGCAGAGGATGAATTGCCCTACAGGGATACATTTTTAAAAAGTCTAAAATCTAAAATCTAAAGTACGATAATGAAAAACTTTAAAGGTATACATTTGTTCAGTTACACAATAATGAATTCAACAGTTTTACACCTAAGTTTGTCTTGTAAAAGTAGATTTATGAAAGGAAATGGTTGCATAGCACTGATAATAATTTGCCTGATTCCCTTTTCCTGTGATTGGTCTTGTAGGCTACCCAACCTCCCGTGCTTCAGGCGTCCATTTTGTGCAGAAGAAGACTTGCTTCATTAAAAACAAAACAGCAGAAAACTGCAGAAATGTATTAAAAATCCGTTTTTTGTTGAATCGATGTTAGCGCATGGGTTTGGAGCTTTGCCTTATGAAGCCTTCACTGACCGCCTGACATGTCCAACACCAGTCCCTCTCTAATATGGCACAGCTCTGGGCGTTTCTTTGGCCCATACTGGTTCAGAAAACTTGACGTGACAAACATTTGGAGAAGAGTCAGCTTTCCGTATTTTTTGTTTTTTTGGTTGTTATTTTCAATCTCAGGAGACGTGGGAAAACCAGCTAGCACACTGGACCGTCAAGCATCAACTGTACCCTCACACTTTTGACTTCTGTTCACGTGCAGCGATCCCAACATGGTGGCTAATGTGTACACTGCCACCCAGCACGGGACTCAGAACTACAGTGCTCAAAACTTGCTATTGAACTGCCAAAACTAGCTGCAACGGTAAAAGTCAATCCAGCAAAACACGTATTGTCCGGAGCACAATATTTTTGCCACCTTCAGCGAGAGTTCAACAGAAAGCAAGAGTTGGCTACACTTGTCAAAATGCTGCTTTTCTCTTTTAGTTTTTTGTTTTTTGTACTGCAAAATCTGAATGTTTGCCTGCACAAGAAAGCGGAGACGATAGACTGATCCTGGGTGGCTGCTGTTAGAGACCAAGGGGGAGCGGGTTGGTACTTTTTGCACTGAGCAGAATAGGTCGATTCTCTGACTGACGAAGGGAAGCGCTCGTGCTGCTGTTGTGACTGTCGAATGCTGCAGACATATTCCTCACAACAGCTCTGGAGAAGAAGGAATATTATTTCAAAGTGTATTCATTTGCTGAAAGACTGAACATTGACTGAGGTATATCAAAAGACGCCTGGCAAATCCCTTTTTTTGTAAAATTGCCCATCGGTTACAATTCAGGAGCCTTCAAAGATCATCTGCTTTTGTTACATGCACTTTACATAATACATCATGTTATATGTATCTTAAATACTCGAATTAACATCTCATCTTTGCCAATTGGATATTTATTCAACCTAGTAATCGGTACAAGCGACGAAAGTGCCTCAAGTTAAAGGGACCGTATGTATTTTTTTTTCATTTAAAGTTACGTCTACATCTTGTGCCATATTTGACCTTTTCTGATCAACAGTTTAAATTAAAGTGATTGTCTGGAGTTTGTCCGAAAAAAAGAGAGAGGTACTTGATTTTTTTTAAACGACGCAAGCTCCCTCCCCCTTTCTTTCTGATTGGCCCACGCCTACGTTTCCGTAACACATTTAAATGTTAATCTGAGAACACATTATACATTATTAATACACATGCACGGAGGTTTTCAGAATTATTTAACGTTTTCATGGAAAAAATATTTTTTTATGCACAAAAAAATATTTTTTTATGCACAAAAAAAGCGATCGCGGTAAACCCGGAAGTAGCTATTATCATTAATTGAACATTATAGGACACATCTGCAGAGGATCTGATTATGGATATAGGTTCAGTATATAAATGATTATGGATATAGGTTCAGTATATAAATGATTATGGATATAGGTTCAGTATATAAATGATTATGGATATAGGTTCAGTATATAAATGATTATGGATATAGGTTCAGTATATAAATGGGTAACTCAGCGCAGATGTTTAGAATTCTTTGTTCAGTTTTCATGAAGTTCCAGAGCCCAGAGTCTCCGTGAAAACAAACAACTGAGCATGCGCGCAGCTATGAGCATCAGTGCCGATGATTGACAGCCCTTGGCATCACTTGGTTAGTTAAAGTGGACGGCATCGTGGATTTTGAGCTTTAGCTAAGAGAAGGGAAGGCGGGACTTAATAAATCACTTATTTTATATCAATATTTAAGCCCAGGAGGTTATTTTAATAAAATTCTTAAAATGTGTAATTCATTTAGAGTTCCAGACTATCACTTTAATGTTTACTGATTTTCTTAATTAAAAATACAGTGGGGATGAGGTCCAGAGAATGATCAGTGCTTAGGAGCTAAATGTGTCATAAGCAGAAAGAAACCAAAAGTCGTAGGCTACATACAGTCCCTTTAATAGTATATTAAATGTATACAAAAATGTGTTTTATTTTTAGAAAGCATATATGATGTGTTTAATAAAGGAACAATGTCAATAGCATGAATACTTTTGAAGTTGTGTAAGCAAAAGCAGTGATTTTTGAAAGACGTGTCGTAAAGATAGTGCATTATCTTTGGGATCGCATCAGTCGTGGGTTTGATCGGTCTGGCTCACATCTGTCTTAAGCTGTAAAGACAGTTGTTTGTGAACTTTTTATTTCCTTTTTTTAATCCCAACTCAAGGTTTCAAGTGTAATATGGTCAAGTCGGTGAGCAGAAAGTAGTTGACCTGGTTGCAGGTTACAGGATGTAGCATTAGAGTGTCCTCCACGAACAAGTTCATATTTTTACTGCTTTTAAATGTTTTAAATGTGCCAATGCAATGCCTCATCTGGAAACTCTACTCATACGTATGGTGTACATTTGAACTTCAAAGTCATTATTAATTTTGAAACGATCTTTTGGTTCGATGTGCGAGGCCGAAATGCATCGAAATGTCAAGATTTTCTTTTTACCACTCCAGTATTATATCGTCAAGCTGTGAACTAAAGGCTCCAGAGCTCGGGATGGCCACTTTATACTATGTTCAAATGTTTTCTGAAGCTGTAAATATTCTCACAGCTTATGTTGTTCAGGGCTCATTTCTTCTGTATCATTTTGGCTAAAATAGCGTGTTCTTATGGCTGTTGGACGTTCTATCCCGCGCTCTGTGTCTCTTATCACATGTTCTCACAGCGTGGCCTTTGTTTCCTCATCTTTGGTTTGTTTGGTTCTGAATATCACATGTACTGTACATACTAAACCATTCAGTTTCTACTGATCATCGCGTATCATCATTAAGTAATTCTTGTGGAATGACTTTATTTTATTGTATTTTTATTTGTTGTGTATGTGAATCATTACCTGAGCAGAGCATTTGGTTATTTTGACTCTGGTGTTACTGGACTCATCTGTAGATGAAGAAATGCACTTTGTTACAACTGTTGAGGCCACACAAGCTGACGAAAACGGACACATCCTAAATGAAAAGCACTGCACATGTGTTACTTTGTCTTGCTTCATGTGTGTCAGACATGTCCGTTTATTGGTGCCACTTAAAACTTGAGGGATGATCTGGACTTGTTGTCACAAAGTTTAGATGTGTGTGTGTGTGTTTAACTAAATAAAATGTTGCAATTATTTCGAATGAACCAGTCATTTCAGACCAATGTTGCCTTTGCACAATAACATGAAATTACATGTATTATTTGGGAAATCTGGTTGTACGAGAAGTAGACCAGTGGTTCTCAATGTGGGGTCGACGGATGATTTATAGATGATATAGTATTACAAGTTTAGTAAGCTATTTGATTAACACTGTAAACTTAAGGAAGAATCATATCAGATAACACATTACACGACTCAAACAAGAAATATTACAGATGTTTTCATGCAGGTTGTTAAGGTACAGTACCATACAGTAAAGCGTAATGGAAAGCAAGCAGGTCGAGTATAGCAGAGCAGAGAAGGGTCTTCCAGAGCTGGTGGAAATGAGGCTATGGTTGCTAAGGCAAGCTGGACTTTCCCCGGCAGAGGATGCATCTGATTGGTCAATCCTTACACGGATTGTTTGAGCCAAAAAGTGAGTGTGACACAAACAGATACTGAGCAAGAGTTTCAGTCAATAAGAGTGAGAGTTGGAGCAAAACTTTGACCTTTCCTATTGGGGTCCATTGAGCTACCAGGTCAGCATTATCTATCTGTATAGTCTTTGATATACAGTATATTTATGGGAACTTTGAAGACTGCAGCGCAAACACCAGCAGGGGGCGCTTTGGTTTCCACGTGTGGTACCTCTGAGGAGGGGGAGACATGTTCTATGCACTCAAAATGAATATTTAAGCTGTTTGGCCTACGTTATAGTTACAAGGAGGTTTTTTTCTGAATGGTACCAGTAGATTCAGAATGATACGTGATATGTGTAGCCTAGTACAAATATACATACATATAAATTATGGGATATGCTACAGTCTACAACAAGATACAGCTGGACTTTTAACATGTAGACGCCGATGTTGTAACCAGTCTACAACACCTGGATGTTTCAATCTACACAAACTATAAATGGCATACTGTTTGGCTTTAGTAGTAGATGCTCTCCAGTAAATGGGCGTGTCCACTGAGGCACAGCGCGCACACGCAAAGCTGCGGCTTCCCACACATCAAAGTCCAGAGCTCACAGACCAGACCACAGTCCTGCCCCTAAAGCTTCACCTCCACAACTTCAGTGACCAGGCGCCGTGTCGCTGCTCGGATGGGAGTGGATACACCGCTGTGGAGAGGACGGACGCGAACCATGTGGTAGCAGAGAGAACACGGCGTTACATGGATTATTTTATAAGGCGCACAGCTGCAGGTAAGTCCGTGGGAATTAGTTTGCAGAAGTCTATTTTTTTGACGTACAGTGTTCATAACGCGCTGTAGTGCATTGTTTAACAGCGCTGCCGATGTAAATTCAACCCGTGGCAACTTGATCTGTCCTTGTGCTTTGCGGAGAAGAGGTGTCCTGGCTGTACGAGTTTTTTTTTTTTTTTAATGCACCGTATATTACTGGCCCCTGTGCATTGTGGGCACATCATACAGTCACACGCAGTCGCATCTATGGGTAACAGTCATGGATCTATAATAACATTGCCCTATAATATTACTGTAGATGCTTTGCACGTGCTTTTGGGTCTGCTTGTATACATATATATATTTACACATATACCTGAGGCGCACGCGTGGCTGCTGGGTTGATATACCCATCCATTTGGAGTGTAGAATAAATAAATAAATGCGTGTGTGTGCAAAAACTTGCTCCATGCACTGAGGTCCACACATGCACAGCCACACGCACACGTACACGTACACACACCGGTGGTCTGGAGTGCTGCCGCCCCTCGTTACGCGCGGAGCTTTGTTTGGAGCTGCTGCTGAATGAGATGCGCTGTTGCCAGGGATGAGATGGCGCGTCCGCGTATTGTTCCTCCGGGGTGAGCGTGAGGTCTGGTGTTTTTTTTGTTTTGTTTATTCATTCTTGTTGTCATCACCACAGCCTTGCCAAGCATCCATTCCAGCTGCCCTTTTCTCCTCCACGCATAGCTTTAAATGCGTTATATGTTGGACAAGATGGGCCTATTCAAAACCCACCAGGCTTAATTGTATGGCAGGTGCACAGCGTGTTCCTTCGTTCAGATATTAATAGGCCCTTCTCATTAGTCCCTCCTGCTGTAATTGGTGTTATGAACAGGCCAGGTCTCAAGTGGCAAGAGACTATCACTGTCACCTCCACAGAACCACCTCTCATTTGGTTTGATTCTGAGGAAGCAACTGTGCAATCACTCTCTCAAGAACTCTTGCCTTATTGCTGAATGTCTTTCTCATTTGAGGTTGAGCTAAAAATGAGTGTGAACTTGTCCTTGGCCTACATGCAGGAAGAATTGTGAAGAAAATTGGGCTTTACAGTTTACAAAGTAGATGTAACAACCAAAAAAGTTAGCTGATGTAGAACACTTGAAGGACCTTTGAGCGGAGCGTTGTGCAATGTCAAGTATTATTCATGAATTTGCTGAAGAAACAGTTCCCCCTGGTTTCGTCTGATAGTGAAGGAGGAAAGTCCACAGCTGCTGCTCCTCTTTTTGTCTTGTTTTCATGGGAAATGTCTCTTTACTGCGTCTGGGGACTCCACACTGAGACTATTTTAGAATCTATTCTGGGCCCCAGAGTTTTCAGTGTCCAGTCTTTACAGATCTTAGATCTTTTTGAATACAAAGATGAATTCACGCTTTGATTATTGACAGTGGGAGTGTTCCACGGTACCAAGCCATGAACATTATTCAGTGATACCTTTTCGAACTAATTATCCCTCAAGCCAACACTTTGTTTGTTTCAACATTTGGTTTTATTTTAAAAAAAGTAAATCCGCTCGAGGACGTCCTGATGGATATCTTCAATATAAACACAGAATTAATTGAGATTTATTTCTGTAAAGCTCTAGATCACAACTGCGTCGTCTCGGAAGACTTTACAAAATCGTCAAATTGCCAAACGGATCAACAAGCATTTCCTATGCTTGTTATTATAGCATAGGAAATGCTATAATAACAAGCACATAGAAGCCATTGGTCCATAGGAAGTGGGATGATCCATGTCCAGAAATGTCATAAATATTCTGGATCATCACTGTCCTGAGACTCAGGCTGTAGAACGAGGACTGAGGACCCTCGAGTTCGACCTGTTCACTGGTGCAGGTCAAAGAGGCCAGGTTCAAGGTTCCCATCATCACGCTGTGAAACAGACAATAGGTCAGCGGGTGAATAGCAATGAACAGTGAAGTTTCTCCCAGCAAAGTGTCTTCATGTGCAGCTTGACTGAATCTATGTTTTGACCAAAGCACTTTATTATTTAAGTCATGAATTTGCGTCTTTCAGTCCTAGTTAGACCTGCTGTTCATAAGTAATTACATGTTTATATGACACGGTTGCAGCCCTATCGTTCGGACAATGACACCTTATATCTGTCCACTGCGTTCGGGTGTTTCCTGGAGGTGTTTTCAGAGTGCGGTTGATGACACAGTGATGTAACCAAACCTGTGTTACTCATATGCACCTGATGGAAACAGGAGCTGAGGGCCATGTTAACATTGGGGAGGACCTTAAGCATCTCGGGCCTGTGGACTCGCACTCGAGTGAGGTCTGCAGCTGGGAGGATAATGAACTGAACCATTCATTTGTGTTTTAAACATTTAAGATGTGAAGGCTCAGTCAGTCCAATAAGGCTTGAATAGATGACGCTAATATTACGTCATAACTTCCAAAAATCCTGTAGTTTAAGCTTGTGGTTGTCAGCAAAACAAAATCCTGGTATCTATGGAACCAAAAGTTATATTTCTGGCTAATGTCTCGGCCATTCCTGATCCAATTTACAATACTGTCACTGTCACTCTGCACACCTCACTTTGGTCTAATTATTTTATCATAAATGTAAAAAAAAAACATACGTATGATGTTGGCCAGTGCAAAGAATGTTCAGACATAAGAATAATGTGACGGATTTATGAATCTAACCAATGTCAAATAATGATCAGGGGAAAGAAATAGGACATTTTCTACTTCAAAATGTTTTTCAAACATTGCTTGTGCGTTCGGCCCCTGGGGCAAAGCCTGGACCTGTGATTTGAGAACAGAAAATCAATCAATCAAACATTTAAACAATCCTGTCCAAGTATTTGTATCAAAGGTATTGGGAAATGGACGGGGTGAGTTTAGAGTTTACTTTCAAGGCTCTTCAATCTCTTTTATAGACAAGAGAATTGATGCACTTTTAACATTTTAAAGGAGCTATACCTGTTTCTGCAAGGTTTGAATGTTTAGCACCGCCCCCAACTCGCTCAATGGCTTCTCATTTCCCCTACGCTCTCATCCCACGGAGCCATCTAGTTTTATTTGCGATCGATATGCCAACATTAGCATGAACGCAACTTCTTGTAAGCTGTACAACAATCACTGATGAAATGGTACAAAAGCAACGCACTGCTAACACAATATATAACTGAAAGATTACCGCTAGTTCCGCGTCCGAATGTAGTCCGAGCACAGATAGTCCGAGGCGGTCCCACTGGTCTCTCCCACACCCAAGTCTCTCCAGAGGATACAATGTAAGCTAGCTATGTTCACCCGGGCTTGGCTTCTTCTTTGATCATTTTTTTGCTTTAGTTCCCTCTTCTCTTCCTCTCTGTTGTGTAGTTTGGGCTGTTTTGCTGTGTCTGCAGTTACAGCAAGAGGAGTTATAGCCAATTCTGCTAGAAGCAGAGGACGCAGCCTCGTTCTGTGAGTGGAGTCTCTACTTAGCACTTTTATACGGCCGGAATTCACACACAAGCTGAATCAATGAGCTCAAGTTTTCAATGAAATTACAGATTATAATACAACTTGTATGTAGTAATAAGCATTTTTATGAACTTTAAATTCTTTTTACTGTTATTATTATATTTGAGAAACTTTTTTATGTACCTGTGACTATGTGAATGAAAGCAGCCGGCACCACTGTAATTTCCTTTGCGATCAATAAAGTTTCTTATCTTATCTTATCATACCTTCTTCCTCCCTTCCTCCTGTTCATTTGTCGCAAATGAATGATGGAGAGTAGCTGACTATAGGAGCTTATCCAATCAAATCCAATCATGATCCATCATCGTCAATACTGTTGTTGTGGCTGATCTCTGTCTACGTATTTTATTCAGTAAAAATCTGCATTTAATCAGCAGTGCATCTATAATAGTTTAATATCTGTTATAATTCTGTCACTTTGAATATAATGTAATTAGGTTTTGACGGTATGCTACTTTCAAAACACACACACACTCACACACACAATCCAAATCCTGTGGAACAATAGAAAGTACCAGAGACAAGGGTGACATAACAAACTGTACTCAAATCTGTAAATCCTGTCAGTGTATTCCCTGCTGCCACCTGTCTGTCTCTGAGGCCCCGCCCACTGCTCCAAATGACTCATTAATTAGCCCTCTAAGCTCATCAACCCCTTCAAAACATACAAGCACAGATCCACAAGCCGCTGTAATCTGCCAGACATGAAGTGTAGTGTGGCCTGTGCCGAGCCGAGCCGAGGTGTGCGACCAGGTAGGCCTCAATAAGCAGATTTTTATGTTTTAGCAGCTATAGTGGCAGTTTGATGGTACACAATCTGTTCAATCTGTTCAATCAAATGAGAAGTAGAGCATCCTGGAAAGTGGACGACAACATACAGATCCAATGCTTTTCCAGTTATTGAGAACGAAGCAGGTTGATTGTTCTCGTCAAAAGTTCAGAAATTTGATGTTTGGCTTTAGACCAGGTGTCTCCAGCTGTTTCACCCAGAGAGCTACTTTCCCAGAACGCTAAAGGCAGAGAGCTACTTCTTTAAGCGGCCCTGGGAAAATACTGGCGTGAACAAGTCTACACAGTCATTATTTATCATTGCATATTTGTTACTAGTGACAAAGTAAGTGCGCTTACAACAATGAATAATGATAATGAATGATACAATCTGAGTGTATTAGTTGATTTGTTCATTTCTAAATCCTTTCGGGAGCTACCTGGAAGGGGGTGGCGAGCTACTGATGGCCCACGAGCTACAGGTTGGAGACCCGTGCTTTACATCCTGTGATCATTAGGATAGATGGGAATGTTTTTTACTGTTCTTGTTGTTGTTTTTTTTGGGTTTAATGTATTTTTATTGATGTGCATAATATCAATTTCAATATGACACAATTGTACAGGGTCAAGTCAAATATACACATTGTTCTATTTTATTTACAAAGTTAAAAGAAGTGAACAGCTAAACAAACTAAACAGAACATAATAATAATAATAACGGACGAGCTGGAGGAAGTGTGTGTGGATGGGGAAGTCTGGGCGTCTCTGCTTAGACTGCTGCCCCCGCGACCCGGCAACGGAAGAAGCGGAAGAAAATGGAATGGAATTATAATAATTAAAAAAACAAAACCAGACCAAAGCAGTTGGGGGCGGGTTAATGTTTATCAAAAAAGTCAATAAACGGTTGCCACTTTCTGGAAAAGTTCTCTGTCAGACCACTCCTAGAATATCTTATCTTTTCAATCTTCAAAAAAGACATAACTTCCTGTATCCATTGTGTGCTGGATGGTGCATTTGAGTTTTTACTGGGTTTTTTGTTGTTGTAGAAGACGACACTATAACTTGATGTGTGCACAGATGCCTCTGCCCCGTACCAGTGTCCAGTGCAGTTTCTTCAGCTCTTTCCATTGTCGGAGCACGTGTGGCTGTTGTATGTAGGTTAGTGTGAACTCCGCGGCAGAGCTCAGTGTCCTGGATCCCGTGGGAATCAAGAGGAGAGGGCTCTGATCACAAATGAATCAATCCAAACCCAGTGCTCTCATTCTGCAGCCTGATTATAGTCGCTCAGTGGGCAGGGGTCAGTCAATCCACATCAGCTCTGAATGTCCACTGTGCTCCACACCTCGTCACACAGATAAGCCTTCTCCTGGATCTGGCAACTTCAAGACCCCAAGGAGGAAACTCTATGACATCACTGTTAATGTCAAGTTTGTAGAGGCCTTTCTTTTCTATATGTTTTTACATTCGTTAAAGTGTTGTTGTTTTTCTTTACATGCATAATGGTAATGTTAAAAAAAAAGAAAGCATACATGATGTAAGAAAATAGTCCTGGAGAACAGAACGAGCCCTAAATGAGAGTAGGGATTATCTGCACAGGCAGCATGGATCTAAATCTTCTTACAAATCCTCTTTACTTTCTTCTGCCAGACACTGACCACAGTAACTGTCTTTGTCTGACGCTGTATGGAGCAGTTGTTTTGTGCGTTCCACACGTGGAGCGGGTGGTAAACGTGACCGAGCACTTCCTCTTTGGTGAGTCAACAAAAGTGTATTTGGTTATGGGTTAATATTTGAACAGTTTTCCGGTTGATAAAACATTAACGTTAATTTCTAGAACCGTAGCAGGAAATAATTAATTTGTAGCGATGTCATTTGAGCGCGGGTCTGAGTCAAGGTCATGTGTTCTGGAAGCTTCTCTTTGACAGTCTTTGATGTGTTGATGTGACTCGGCCACATACGAAGTGTTTCCGTCTGAACACACAGCTCTCTGTGGGTGTTCGGAGCTCGTGGGACTGCAGAGACTCTTTACCGCCCCGCTCCTCGTCTGTGGGAGCACGGCCACATGCTATGAGGCGTTGTCATGGCAACCAGATGCAGCCCGCCATCCCCGTTATAGGCCTCCTGCGCGCCTACAGTACAGCACACTGCGGCACTCAAAGTTCACGCTCATGAATCACAGTACATCATACATTATTACATTATAAAAAAACAATCAAAACAAGAAATCACTGCCAAGAATATCTTTTCTGTCCATGCTTACAAATATCACTCCAGTCGTGCTTGTTTTTGGTGTTAAAATGTTCTTGAGGATTACTAAGAAGATTACTTAGGGGTGTGCTGTTTTATTTACAAATCTACAATGAATATAAATTTATCAACAATAATATATCAATATTTTTTTCCCTCAATTATTTTGATTTTATATAAATTGGCCATCACCATAAAAACATTGAACATGACAAAGATGCAATTTTACATACTAAGGCATCAAACTGTGAATATAAATGCAGCTTAAAATGTTGGTTGGCCTTGAGTGATGTCATCATAAAACCCCTGGTTAAACTTCAGATTTGGCAACTTTTTTACAAACTTTCTTCAAATTGATAAGATAGAATTTATTGATTTCATACTGGAGAAATGTACACATCTGGCATGGAGAGAATAAGATATTTTTGTGCATAATATTGTGAAAATGAGAGAATCCTGAAGGTTTGTCGACATGTGTGCGGTGGTGTCTTCTGACTTGATCGTGTCCTGAATGCTGATGTAATGTCCATGTTTCTGAGGGTCTCTGCAGAAAGACACAGCGCAGGTCAAGGCCATTGTCCTTCCACGTGTACAGAAAAAACAACAGTCATCCAGCAGCTGTGTGGCTCTGATAAGGCTCTAATTCTCCGGTGAACACTGAGCAAACTGATTTCCAAGATAAGGTTGAGCTTCAAATAGGGCATCAAGAAGCACTGATGTGTTACTACGTCACTAAGGGCCACATTTATCAAGGATGTGCTCGGGCTGTAAAGGGCTGTATGGGGCTGTATAGGGCTGTATAGGGCTGTATGGGGCTGTATGGGGCTGTATTGGGCTGTATGGGGCTGTATGGGGCTGTATGGGGCTGTATGGGGCTGTATGGGGCTGTATGGGGCTGTATGGGGCTGTATGGGGCTGTATGGGGCTGTATAGGGCTGTATGGGCTGTATGGGCTGTATGGGCTGTATGGGCTGTATGGGCTGTATAGGACTGTGTGGGCTGTATAGGGCTGTTGTATTGGTATTCATGTTTTCTCTGCAAATGTGCGAGTTATTGGCCGACCTTCACTAATGGTGTTTCTAGCGCTCTGGGTGCATTCACAGTTGTTGGGAACAGCCCTTAGATCCTCGGGCAGGTCCCTGTTGACTGTTCCAAGGTTGAGGCTCCGGAGCGACCTGCCCGAGTATCCTCTTTTACATCACTTCTTCAAACCCACTTTTACCGAACGGCCCTCAGCTACTCATTTTAAACTTCATGTTGTATTTGAATATCCCACTTTATCTTTTTTTGTCTTTGTTGTTGTTTGTCTGCTTTATTCGGCTGTATTTCTTTTTGATGTGACTGTTTTTACTGTTTTATGACTGCAGTGCTTTGTAATTTTGATCTTTTTCCCCCCAAGTGCCTAAACTTGTTTTTGAATTGTCAAAAATGTCTGAATTAGTTTGATAAACTGAAACTGTAAATACTATTTTTTTTTTAAGTGATATACAAATATTGATTTATTATTATTTACTTTAACTGCTCCAAATCTGGTTATGATCTGGCTCTTTCTGTGTTTTAAGCTCTGTATTCGGTAATACAAATAATTGAGTGCTTTTAGACTGTTTTATCTGCTAATCAACGGCATAAACTGTTTCAATATTCCCCTAAAATTAGAAAATTCCAATCCCATCCTATCTGGGTGCTCATGTTTTCCCTACCACTAAATGCATGTACAATAGATAAAATCCAGTAGTTCTGACCAAGCGGAGCATCAACATCTGGATTCAGTGGGCGCCGTGTTCCAGACAGAGACGCTAGAGTCGTTTAAGGATGGATCAAATGCAGTGTAACCTAGATTTAGACTTCATAAATGACTTCACAAATCCAATTGTAAACTCAAAACTGATTGATGCTGCTCACACGAAAGGAACTAAACCAGTAAAATGCCTGAGATTGATTTGGGTTTGCTAAAGATAGAAATCGATAATAACGATTAGCGAAACTAGATACTCAACTGATCAAGTTTCAGCACTAAACAAATCACCCAAAACAAGACAAAATTGTGCCTTCATCCGATGAACTGGAAAAAGTTGTAGGATCATAAATAGTATTATTGTGTAAAACAAAATCACAGCTACAAAAACAGCATCTTTAAATCCCCGTGGTTTTGCATCTATTCGTTGCATTGAAATCCAGTTTTGAAATGTTCCATCGTGATTGGTTACTGTAGCGTCAGCCTGTTCTGCTTCCATGGCTACACTGTCGGACGTGACAGAGACTGGACGGTGAATAAAACATAAGGAAGAAAAGAGAAGTCCTGGGAAAAGCAATCACCCTCGGTCTGTCTGCGCAGCCTCCTCATTCTGCAAACAGCGGCTTTTGACTTGTTCCGTGTTCACATGAGCGACAGAGGAAACCACGATGCAAACGATACAATGTGTGAACTGCACCATTGTTCCCCAAACATGCTTTTATAATGTTGGAAAAACTGAGATTTCAAAGTTAATTCAGCTTGTAAGTTTGTCTTTTTTAGCATCCACAAACGTACCACAATCAAACGCCAGTTCTTAACCATGTAGTTGTATATCATAATCAAAGTTAATTCTTATATTGAGGTAAAAGTATTTTGATACCAACAGTTGTATTGGTGTTAATGTTTTCGCTGCAACTGTGCGAGTTAATGCCGTTTCTTTGTGTCACTTATGTCAGTTTATGTCAGTGTCCGGGGTCTCTCTTCCGTCATCACCGGTTTGTGAATGGAAAAATGTCTGGTTTCAGAACATTGTGAAACACTTTGGTCAACCTTGGTATGTAAATTGCGCTATATAAATAGTTATTACTTGTTTACTTACTTACTTAAATCTTTCCCCAATCAGATACGGTCCAGTTAAAGTGAATCAGGAGTGTGAAGGCGCCCTCGGAGAGCAGATGTAACTGTCGATTTGAATATCACATTGAAACACGCGTCTTATGAGTGGATTTGTTTGCATTTTGTTACAGTTGTTAACCCTAATGAAGGTTAATAATAATACATTGGTTTTATTATAGCACTTTATTGTACACTCCAAGACGCTTCACATGGATTTATTATTTACTATAGCCACAGTAGTACACAACCAGTATCTCCGAGCACCACCAGTCAATCTCGCACACACACTCTCGGCAGTGTGGGTGAAGTGTCTTGCCAAACGACCTCCACTGTGGCTGTAAAGGTCTCCCATTTCAGTGCTAACCAGGCCCTGCCCTGCTTAGCTTCAGAGGTCTGATCAGGCTTTGACATGCAGGTGGCGCCACAATATCTATCTATTTTTAAAGTTTTAATTTCCAGTTATGAAATGGTCTTAGTGTCGAGAAAAGAAGACAAGGCAGCTGCGATTGCGCCCGTAACATGGTTTATTCTCGAGTCACAAAAGGAGACAAAGTTTTTTATATGATTTGTATCAATGTGCATAAGGTCAGATACAGTATATGGTTATTATCTGGCCATCACTTGATAAATTATTGACTCATGCTTAATATATAGATACTTTAGCAACAACTTGGTCCTAACAAAGGCGTACAGAGCTTGAAATAATTATGTCTTTGCAGTAATACAGAAAATATGCCGGGTCGGATTCTACATTAGTTTTGACAAATGTTCTGTGATATTTCCCTTGAGTTTGGGCGCAGGTGTGTGACGGTCCTTGTGTTGTTGTTGTGTGTTGTTGTTGTGTGATGGCCTTTGTGTTGTTGTTGTGTGACGGTCCTTGTGTTGTTGTTCCAGCTGACTGTCACTGAGGCAGGATGAACGGCTATGACACCCCCACCTCCTACTGCTCCCACATCAAGTAAGACCTTCATTATGGATCACTCACTCAGACAGATTTGTTTATTAGCAACCAGTGGGTCGCTGCGGTTCATGAAGTTAGGAGTAAAGTTTGATGCTGTCGGCAGAGTTAAGGGGAGTTTGATTTAATTATTGATTCCGTCTGCCGTCACAATCGGCCAATGTGTGAAAAGATCAGGTTTCATTGACACTGGAGCTGCTCCCAGTCGACCTGGCTCCAGTAAACCTCAAAAGGCAAAAGGAACCACCTCGTCTCGCCAGGTTTAGACCCAAAAGGTTCTATTTTTGAAAGTTTCAGTTTTTGTGTAAGTTCTAATCAAATAAAGCCAATTCAAGTAACACATATAAATAATATTCAAATAAAGTTACACTATGATGTCATCATAGTCTCATTTGAAATCGTTTTTCAGCAAATTACTACCTGCTTTATGTGAAATACAGTAGTTATGCAGGAGAATAAGAGGCTTAAAATGTGCATGTTCCTAAAACCACAACAAATATGAACAATGATAAAAATGAATGAATAAATGATATCTATTGTAAAAGGAAAGAGAGAGTAAACAAAGTTTAGCTGTTCCATGAGCTGAGGGTGAGGAGGAAGCCAACAGTAGTTAAAAGTCCTGTATTGATTACATCATGGACGCCCATGTGATCTATGATGGACTCTCGCTGTCACGCATGGATCAGCAGCATTTGTTGTTCTCATACATAAAAGGATTAAAGTCGATGTGAATGACTACTTCTTGTTTGGTGATTGTTGGTATCTGTTGCAGTGGCCATGGCTCAGCTCCAGAGCCTCCCAAATCTAAAGCCAAGTCCAGTGCCAAAGCTCTTTACGGTGAGTTTGTCCACTATTGTCGCCCTCTGCAGGAGCACATGTTTGAGCAGAAACGGTGGCATTTCCAGTGCCTGGGAGCCGGACCCTAAGTGACCCACTCAGTGATATTCTAACATTCACAGGAAGAGAAGAGATGTATTTCCTCCGCTCGTCTGCCAAAAGCAAAAAGCAAAGTCAAAGTGAGAGGAGTGAACTCTGATTTGTTTGTGCAGTTATCCAATCATTTCTCTATTCCAACTTCTGATAGTTTCAAAGCAACTTTTTGTTGTGTAACCTTTGTGCTGCATGATTCCATGCCACTGGGGAACATTCCTCTAGAAATACAGATACGCTTAACCTGGAAGATTAAAGCCAAAGAAGCATGGATTTACAAAAAAATTCCATAAAAACATGAGAGGACAGTCCTCCAGGACAAGTACAAGTCAAATGTATATTTAGTCCATTCTCATGGTGACAAAGGCAAAGATAACTATCTGTTTGTGGAGGAGATGCCAATGTTCTAAAGCATAAGTTGCTGTGTCTTTGCTGTGCGAGTCTCTTGGTGATCCATGTCTGTCTACGGCTTATTGTTCATCCTGTTATTTTGATCTTGCAGAACAAAGAAGACACTACACAAAAAACAGCATCAACAGTCTGACAGACACGTCCCAGTATCATGTGGAGGTGAGGTCAACACGTCTGCAAAGCCTTCTACATGTACTGCTGTCTACTGCTGCATATACTGATGTTGTGTCTCTGCAGCATCTGACCACATTTGTTCTGGACCGTAAAGATGGCATGATCACCGTGGACGACGGGATCAGGCGCCTCCGTCTGCTGGAAGCCAAGGCGAAAGTATGGACTCAAGAGATGCTGCTGCAGGTGGAGGAGAAGGCCCTGAGCCTCATCGACCTGGAGACCAAGGTCAGTGGGGCCCTATTCTTTAACAGAAATGTCCTCGGTGTTTCTGTTAAAGAATAGCTCCATAGCGGGTTTGGCAACTAGTTCTCTCTGGATTTTGTAATATACTTCCTGGTTGGACAAATACTGCAGATTAGACTTTGGAGATAATTTAGCACGTTCCACCCTGTTGCACACAAAGGTCAAACACACATTGTATTAGAACAAAGTAATGACAAAACAAATCTCTCATATCAGTATTTAATCATTTTTCAGAATGAGTTGGAAAACTTTCCCATTGGGACGATACAACACTGCCAGGCTGTGATCAATGCCTGCAGTTTTGATTCCATCCTGGCGTTGGTCTGTAAAGAGTCCGGGCAGATCAAAGCTGACCTGCACCTTTTCCAGTGCGATGACATCAAGGTAACAGCGCAATTCACAAATAGTTTTAACTAAATGAATCCGACAAGTTCCATCTTTTAACTGTTGGGTTTCCTTCAGGCAAACCTGATTCATGCTGATATTGACAGTGCCATCAGTGATGCCAAAGGAGGAAAAGCCAAGAAGAGGCCTGAGACGCTAAAGTAAGTATTCTTAAGGGTGAAGTAGTTAACTTTAGTCCTGAAAGTACAGCCGGCCCGTACAGTACTCCCCCGTTAGTCTGAATGTTTTGTAAAATGTCTACAGAATGATCCTGAAAAGTGATGGGCTCATCCCTCCTCCCCCTGCGGCCCCCGCCCCAGAGCCCCCCGCTGCGGACCCTCAGCTGGATGTGAAGAGTCGTGTGGCGGCCTGGTCGGCTTGGACCAGTGAGCAGCAAGAACGTGAGTGCTCTCTCCTCTGAACCGCTTTAGTTCTAGACGACAGACAGCGGCTGTTCTGATCCTGTCTTTGGGCAGGAGACTTGTTACTGAACTCACTCATGTCTGATTGGACTAAATGTTGAAGTAGCTTTGGAAAGCACTTATAAGAATTACAGGTTTTATTGTAATTATTGGAAAATGGTCATCATTGAAAACAATCTGTAGTAACACTAGGTAAAAAAAATGTAATCCTTTAAATATCAGTCCCTACATATCACTTACTAGCTTTTCTTTTATGTATTTCTGTTATTGATAGAAGTTGTCTCTCCTCCAAATTTCTGGGCTTTTTGTCTGTTTCACATCAAATTTCTGAAAAACGTATGGCTTCGTGATGACGGTTCAGACTCTGGGTGGGTGAATATAATGTCTATAATTATAATTGACAGGTGATAGCGTGAGCTCTGCTGAGGTCAACGAGATAACACATTTTGGGAGGATCTGTATTTTAGTATTTCATGATCGGACCTGGTTGCTCTGTCTGAAAGCCGATTGTAACAGACGTAGTGGGAGCTGAGAAGTTTCTGTAGTATTATGGAGCGTGGTGCTGCTCCTGAAGATCTCAAAAGTTTAACACTAGAACTCCCAGAGCAGTCAATTTGACAGCTTTTCATTTTGGAAGTGTAATTACTCCACTTTCTAGTCATCATAACTTTGTGAATTCTTCTGTACCTATAGCTATAAAACCTCCTCTGGCAGTTCTAGACGTTTCAGAATTCTCAGAGTTAATAACATGACGCCATCAAAATGAATACACTTTTTCTATCTATAATCCAGGATGTATAGAAGATGGAGCACGTGAATAATTGTATGGTGTTTTTTTATGTGGCAGAGGAGAAGCAGAGAGTGTATGAACTGGACGGCTCAGTGGAGATGACAGCCGCCCATGTGGACCGAGAAGTGGTCAGTCCTTTTCATATATTTTGACTAAATATTCTCACTCTGGCTCTTTTATTGAAATGTATTATTATGTATGTATGTATTTATTTAATTTTCTTTTATATACGACAACAAAACAGACAAAAACATCAACATTCCACAATTCAAAAACAAGAAGACAATAAAAAAAAACAAAAAGCTCTCTATACTGGCTCTATACTTTAGTGCAGGGCCAACCAAGCAGGAGCAAACCAGACTCCGCCCATTTCCTCAAGTTCCTCCTGGTTCAGACTGAGCGGCGTTGAATACCGCTGCTTTCGTGGGTTATCTGGGTCTGCAGCACAAAAGATGACAAAGGGATTTAAAATGATTGGAGCATTTTAATATCATCAGTTACGAAGCCTTTTCACTCAAATCTGATTACATAAAAAGAAGCGAATGTTTGACCAGCAAGGGGAATAGTTCATGTGCCAGGTGGTTTTATTCTAGTCAGAAAATCATAACTCTTGATAACTATTAACTTGTTGCAGCAAATATTGAACCACCTTTTGGATGACATTGAGTTCTTCGTAACCAAACTGCAAAAGGCTGCGGAGGCTTTCAACGAGCTTTCAAGGAGGAAAAAGTCTAAAAAAGGGAAAAGGAGAAATCCGGGAGGTAACGTTTAGTTCTATTTCATATGTTGCTTCGCCCTTTAGGCTTCGCTAATGCATATCTCTTCGGAAGCATCGCTTCCCGCCCTGAGAAGATCAAACGATCCACCCTCCAATCACCTTCACGTCCTGGCGTAGGTCTGTCCCCTATAAAAGGGGTCATGCACCACAGCTCTTCTCCTTTCTCTCTCAGCTTGCCTAAGAGAAGCTTCGATTCATTTGCTAGGATATCTTCAAGCAAGATTCCTGCGCCTGAGAACTTGCCACCCTCCGGTGTCAGGCTGCGGATCTGCGACTTGTGCCCAGCGGCACTCTCCCAGACTGACCGCCACGAGTCCAGCATCTTCTGCCTGGGCTGGCGTCGTGCCGCGGGAGAAAGCCCCAGATGTGTGGCTTGTCTCGCGCTCCCCTGGGGAGGAGCGCGATAGACGCCGTGGATTATTCATGCCGCATAGAGTGTTGCCCTTGGTGGCATCGCTCATGGTGTGCTACCCTCTATCCACGCTGAACAGACGTATAGCTAATACACCACAGATGGTTGCCCTAGCTTAACACATCACTCTGCTCGCTTCATCCCTGGAGTGGTGCCCATGGTGGCTCGCTCAAGGTGGTGCTACGTTCTGCTCACGCTGGACAGGCGTAATACTACTGCACCACAGATGGTTGCTTAATAACATCACTCTCGGTGCCCATGGTGGCTCGCTCATGGTGTGCCTCTGCTTCACTATATCAGCCGCGAGGGGATAGGCCCATGACAGCCCATTCCCTGGCGCTAGCGTATGGAGTATACGCGGGTGCGGAGGCCTGGCCTTGGCGGTCAGGTTTTCCTCCCATAGAGGATGGAGTACGCCTGTACACCAGCTTCCTCCGGGGTTTGGGCTGGCACCCCCCCTCGAGCGGGGCAAGCCGGCCGTGTCCATGCTTGACAGGAGTTATGCTTGTGCATCATAGGTCGTTGCTATGGCTTATAACATTACTCTCCTCGCTGCATCCCTCGGACAGGGACCGCTCTGCCACCCCGCACCGCTCAGAACCAAGAGGAGACAGCAAGCGTGTGACAAGCAAAGGAGCAGCAGCCACCCCGGCTTTGCAGCTGCAAGGAGGGGAAGGAAACTCTTTAACAAAGGCCATCATCAGGCCCGTTACTCCCTCAAAGAGAACACTTCTTTCCCCTTTTCCTTATCCTCAGCGCTTGGCCAATGCTGCTCATCTGCCAAGTGCCTGGAGCCTCTCTCAGCGCGCCTCTCTCAGCGCGCCTCTCGTGCGCGCGCTGGAGGCATGCTCCGGGACCGCTGTGCGCTCCCCGTGCCTTTGCCTCTCTTGGGCAGAGAGTGCGCGGCTGCACGCTACCCTCCTACGCTCTCTGTGCGCCACGAGCGCCAGCTCACAGCTGTCCTGCCCTCACGCTTCTACCCGGTAAAAGCCAGGGCCGCAGCTAGGGCTCAGACCTTTTTCCAGCGGCCCCCCACTATCCAGAGCAATGAGTGGTACTGCTCTCCCTCCCCTCCTCAGTCCTCAGTGTTGGGGAGCGGGGGCTCGGCTCCACGTAAGCGCAGCACACCTGCCCTCACGCGGCCACCCAGAAAAAGGGCCCAGGGCCGCAGCTAGGGCCCAGCCCTCTTCCCAGGGGCCCCCCAATGCAAAAAGTGGGACTGCTCGGCCCCCTCTCAGTCCACAGTGTTGTGGAGCGGGGGCTCAGCTTCACGTAAGCGCAGCACACCTGCCAAGGGCGTCTGGAGCCTCTCTCAACGCGCTGCGAGGTGGCAAGTTGGAGGCAGGCTCCAGGTTCGCAGTGCACTCCCCGTGGTTTCGCCTCCCGTGGGCAGGGAGTGCGAGACCGTGCGCTCCCCTCCTACGCTCCTTGTGCGCCAGCAGCACCAGCTCACAGCGCTCCGTGTGAGAGGCACAGGGCCGCAGCTATCCAGAAGAACAAGGGGGACTGCTCGGCCCCCCCCTCAGTCTCCAGTGTTGGGGGGCGGGGGCCCGGCTCCGCGGAAGCAAAGCACGCCTGCCCTCTTGCTGCCACCCGGAAAAAGGTCCAGGGCCGCAGCTAGTGCTCAACCCTCCTCCCAGGGGCCCCCCACTATCCAGAGCATTAAGGGGGACTGCTCGGCCCCCCCCTCAGTCCTCAGTGCTGGGGAAAGGGAGCTCGGCTCCACGTAAGCGCAGCTCGCTTGCCCTTACGCTGCCACCCGGTAAAGGACCCAGGGCCGCAGCCAAGGCTCGGCCCTCTTCTCAGGGGCCCCCCACGGTCCAGAGCGATAAGTGGGTCTGCCCGGCCCCCCCTCAGTCCGCAGTGTTGGGGTGCGGGGGCTCTGCTCCAGGAAAGCGCAGCGCGTCTGCCCTCACTCTGCCGCCCGGAAAAAGGCCCAGGGCCGCAGCTAGGGCTCAGCCCTTTTCCCAGGGGCCCCCCACTATCCGATGCCTCCCCAGGAGGGACGTCTGTGGGCGGGCCGGGCCTTACTCCCTCCTCCCATCCCACCGTGCTTCCCTTGACTCATTTTGTCACCGTATGGGAACAGGCAGGGCTCCTGGGAACACCGTGGATACGCAGAGTGCTGCATCGGGGCTATGCTCTCCAGTTCTCCCGGCGGCCCCCTCCTTTCTGCGGCATTCTCCAGACAAGGCTATGCAGCCCGGAGGACGCCGTGGCGCTTCACAGGGAGGTCGACGCGCTTCTGCAGCGCGGCGCGGTAGCGGAGGTAGACCCGCTCAAGGCAGGGACAGGGTTTTACTCTCCATACTTCATTGTTCCCAAAAAGAGCGGGGGGGTGCGGGCCATTCTGGACCTGCGCGTCCTCAACGGCTGCATAGCCAAGCGACCGTTTCGCATGCTCACAGTCAAACAGCTGCTGCTGAGCATCAGGCCCGGGGACTGGATGTCCTCCGTGGACCTCAGAGACGCGTATTTCCACATACCCATTGCTCTGGGGGCACAGGAAGTTCCTCCGGTTTTCTGTGGGGGGGGGGTGCTTCGAGTATTGCCGACTCCCGTTCGGCTACTCCCTAGCCCCCCGCACCTTCTCCAAGTGTGTGGAGGCGGCGCTAGAACCCCTTCGGCGCCAGGGCCTCAGGATACTGACGTATATCGACGACTGGCTGATCCTGGCCTCCTCTCGAGAGGAGGCGCAGGATCACACGTCCAGAGTGATGAACCACGTTGCCCGCCTAGGGTTTGTGATCAATATGGACAAAAGCTCCCTGTGCCCGGCCCAGGAGATTTCGTATCTGGGGCTGGTCTTGAATTCCAGGAGCATGACGGCTTCACTCTCGCCGGAGAGACAAGCGGCGGTTCAAAACCTGGGCCGGGTCGTTCTGGGCGAACCTCGGGTCCAACCGCGGCAGATCCGGTCACTCTTGGGCATGATGGCAGCAGCCCATCCAGTGGTGAGACTGGGGTTGCTGCACATGCGATATCTCCAGAGGTGGTTTCTCACACCTCAGGGGTTTATCACGGAGGGAGCGACTGTCGGAGAGGGCTCGGAACGACGTCGCCTTCTGGCTGTCCCCAGGTCGACTCCAGGAGGGAGTTCGAATGGGTTTGGTGGACCACTACATCGAGGTCTTCACGGACGCCTCACTGAGCGGTTGGGGAGGCGTGCTCGGCCACCACTCGGCAGGAGGCGTTTGGTCCTCCCCCTTGGGGCACATCAACCTCCTGGAGTTGGAGGCGGTGCGGTTAGTACTGGCCCATTTTGTGACCAGACTGGAGGGCCAACATGTGATTGTTCGGACGGACAACACCACTGTGGCAGCTTACCTGAACAGGCAGGGGGGGACCAGGTCCCCCGCCCTTCACAGGCTGGCAGTGGAGGTTCTTCTGTGGGCGGACGTTCACCTAGCCTCTCTGAGGGCCCGTCACATCCCAGGCGAGCGCAACGTGGCCGCCGACAGGATGTCCAGGGGCGGGGCCGTGCGGGACGAGTGGGGTCTCGCCCCAGCGGTCGTGGCGGAGGTCTGGCTCCGGTTCGGAACACCGGTGGCCGACCTTTTCGCAAATGCAGAGAACGCACAGTGCCCACTCTGGTTCTCGCTCAGGTCCAGCGACGAGCCCCCTCTCAGGGTGGACGCCATGGCGCACAGGTCGTGGCCCAACGGTCTCCTCTACGCCTTCCCGCCTCTCCGGCTCTTGGCAGCCCTGCTTTACAGGGTAAAGAGGGAGGGGGTCTCCATCCTGGTGGTGGCGCCGGACAGCCCGGGAGCCAGGTGGTATCCGGACCTGGTGAGCATGGCGCTCGGTCCGCCTTGGCCCATTCCGGACCGTCCCGATGCTCTGAGACAGGCAGGGGGAGCCCTTTACTCACGCCCTGTCCTGGGACACAGGCTCATGGTCTGGAGGCTGAAAGGGGGAAACTGTTGAGCCTTGGTCTCCCTCCCTCAGTGGTCGCTACTATTCAGGGTGGGAGGGCTACATCCACCACCAAGCGTAGGAGGTTCGCTGGAAACTCTTCGCCTCTTGGTGCGTGGACAGAGGCCTGGACCCCACCTCGTGTTTCCATGCACCCGTCTTGTTTGTCCCTCCCCGATCGGGAGGGCATGATGGAGTTGTGGCCTAACCCGGCATTCCAGCCCAAGGTCGTCACGTCATCTTTCAGATCTAGGGTGATCAGGGTGAGACCGTTTTTCCCTCCTCCGCATGCTTCGGAGGAGGAAGAGCGGCGTCATAGTCTCTGCCCGATCAGGGCTGTGAGATGCTATTTGGACCGCACGTCTGACCTCAGACGGTCGAATCAGTTGTTTGTCGGGTTTGGCACCAGGAGTCAGGGTGCTGCTTTGTCTCCACAGCGCTTGGCCCACTGGCTTTGCCTTGCTATTCGTTTGGCGTATGAAGCTCAGGGCTTGCCGCCTCCGGCCCAGTTGAGGGCTCACTCCACTCGCGGGGTTGCCGCTTCGGTGGCTTTGTTCCGTGGCACTTCGGTGGAGGAGATCTGCAGAGCGGCGTCTTGGTCCTCCCCCTCGACCTTTGTGCAGTTTTACCTACTAGATGTGGCCTCTGACTCTGTGGCTCATTCGGTTTTGAGTGCAGGGCGGCCCTAGTTCCTCCTTCGTCTAGGGTTATGTGGAGAGGTGTTGGCGCTCTTGGGAGAGGCGGCCTGGACACCTCTGCAGTAGGGGTAGGCGCTCTTGGGAGAGGCGGCCTAGACCCTTCTGCAGTCTGCTCTACATTCCTGGGGTTCAGGTGCTCTTGGGAGAGGCTGCCTGCCCAGGTTTGTTCTGAATTCTTTCCTGCTTTGCAGGTTGGGGAATGCGCGGGCACTCTTGGGAGAGGTAGCCCTGCATCCCTTTCTCTATGGCTCGTAGGACCTCCGTTTCTACCGCTTGGTTGCGGTATGAGCAGGAGGGTCACGAGTTTGCTCCAATCACCAGAGTTCATGCCTGCTGGGAGTACATTGGTCTGGGCTTCGCTATGTTATGCATTAGCGAAGCCTAAAGGGCGAAGCAACATATGAAATAGAAACCCCAGTTACCTAATGTAACTAAGGTTCTTTGAATATGTTGCGAAGCCCTTTAGCTTCGAGCCCAGCAGGCCTGCCCTCTCTTATTCGGCTGAGTTCGAAAGGAGAAGAGCTGTGGTGCATGACCCCTTTTATAGGGGACAGACCTACGCCAGGACGTGAAGGTGATTGGAGGGTGGATCGTTTGATCTTCTCAGGGCGGGAAGCGATGCTTCCGAAGAGATATGCATTAGCGAAGCCTAAAGGGCTTCGCAACATATTCATAGAACCTTAGTTACATTAGGTAACTGGGGTATCTTAATTGTATGAGTTTGTTGCTTTTGAACTATACTGAATGTGCATTATATACCGAAAGTAACTGCTATTTCTCTGGCAACCTGTAGAGGGCATGCTCACTCTGCGATCCAAACCTCCCAGCGAAGAGGAGTTTGTGGACTGCTTGCAGAAATTCAAGTATGCTTTCAACCAGCTGGTACGTGCCGCTGTGCTACTGTGTGTTTGTCCACCTCAACATGTATTACTCACGTGTTTGTCTTTCTGCAGGGAGCGCTGAAAGACCAGATCCAAAACCCGAGTGCTGTGGATCTAGTTCACTTCCTGTTCGTGCCATTAAAGATGGTGAGACATTCATATTTTTCTCTTTCTATGGACAAATTAGACAAGATGCGGATCGTTCTGAGTTTTGCTGTGTGCATGTGATAATATACCAATATACCATAAAGGAATCCTAGACAGTCCAATCAGCAACTGCCACGGTGCCAGTAGCTTCGGCCTTCGGATAACCAAAACATTCAAGTGAAAAATGACCAGCTCCTGCATAGTTTTATTAGAATGATGAGTTCAACTTTTAACCACAGTTGCTTCAAAGTGTTATAAGAGTTTCATAGACATTCTATGAGGTTAAATATGTTAAATTGCTTTCTGCAGGTGATCCAGGCCTCGGGCAGCGTGGACTTGGCCCGAAGTATCATTGTCCCTCTCCTCACAAGAGAGGCCATCGACTTTCTTCACGCTGCCGGAACAGCTGAGGAACGACACATGTGGGTTGCCCTGGGCGATGGATGGACCAAGTGCAGGTGGGATGTGATGCTCATGATGTGTCCTATCATACACATCATAACCCCAACCCTTTTTAAAATTAGTTCTAAAAGAGTGACACTTGTTTTTGTTTTCTTGTCCAGATTGGAGTGGCCCAAAGATCACTATTTCCCCCCTTGTGTTCTGAAGTTTCGTGACGGCTGGGAACCTCCAGCGGTGTCCCTGGTTCCTCCAACTCGTGAAGAAGAGCTGGCGCACTTGGCACAGAGTCTGGCGAATGCTGAAATCCAGATGAAGGAGGAGTTTCGCTTGAATCAGGAGGTGAGAAAACGCTCGGCTTTAACACGTGTCTTATCTGCCATTGTTAAGATAAAGATAAAGATAATGATAATGGAATGTCCTGTCCCACAGAACACAGCAGTACAGAGGTTTCCCCCAGCAGACGGGTATGTCAACACCGCCTACAAACGCATGCAGGTTTTGGACCCGGACTTGGCTCTGGCCACTTATAAGCAAGCTGTCAGCCGCTGTGTGGACCGGTAATCTGAGGTCAAACCTCTCAAGCCCTGGAGAACTCGTCCTCCTTTTTGCTTTCACCCTAATGTTTCTTTAATCTGCACGTCTGCTATAAGGTTTTTTCTATTTATTTTCAAAAACACTTCACTTGACTCTATTCTATGTCCATCTGATTCATTCTATGATTCAAAAGGCTGGACACTTCTCCAGGGCTCTTAGTTAAAACAATCATAGCAAAAGTACAATAATAAAGTAATAGAGCTCATTATTGTCTGCCGGTGAGAGTGGATGAAATGGAAAGACTGTGGAGGCTCGTTCATAGACTGTATATAGAGGGACAATGCTAACCCGGAAGTGCTCATGAATGACGTTTTGCTCCAACTCGCTCCGATTCCAATTGATTTACAGCAACCATTTGTGTCAATCCCACAATTTTTGGCTTAAAAAATCCATGGTTAAGTGCTCTAAAGGGCCCTGGTCCTTTTTTGTATCTTTTTTTTGTGAATCCAGATACAGTATGAGCCCTCATTGGGAAAACTCCAGCTAGCTTTACTATGTCCGCAACACGTCTGCCCCAGCTACTGCCTGAAGCTAACGCAATTGGAACAAATGCCCATATAAGGATATTTGCTTTTGCTAATCTATGCTAAACACTTTGGCCGACGTCAGCACTCATTCAGTCCACTCCAAATATACGGTCTATGGGCTTGTCTCAGGTGGTGGAGACACTGTGTTAAAGCTGGGAAACCTTACTTAATCAGTCTGAGTCTGATCTGTTCACACAATTGTACTTAAACAAGACTCTCTGTTGGGACAAACAATGTATATTTCTTAAACATGAAAAATGAGGTACTCCAGCTTTAAGACCTACTAATGTACTGTGTATGTGGTCAAGGGGGCTTCAGTGCAGTTTAGTAGCGTACTTCTACTTAGTGTTTTTTTTTTACTTAATCCATTATCACAGCTCTATTTGTTTGTTGTCAGGGCTTATGAGGCTGACGGCAGAGGTCAAACTAAGCTGATCGCCAAATCCAAATATGACTTTGTCGCAAGAAATAACACCGAACTGTCAGTCTTGAAAGATGAGGTTTTAGAGGTATGTATCAGATGTAATTATTCTTCAGTAAGACGAGTGGGGAACGCATTGTTTATTCCATGTTGTGTCTGTGGAAGGTTCTTGACGACCGAAAGCAGTGGTGGAAAGTCCGGAATGGTTGCGGGGCATGCGGCTATGTGCCAAATAACATACTGGAGCTCACCAAAGCAGTGGACTTGTCGGGGAAAGGAGAGCCGGTCTACAGCCACACTATCCAGGTACGGGTTGTTTTTATTCATCTTCAAACATGCGTGTCATAAAATTCGCTCAATCACTGTTTTGTGTCCATGCTCCATCAACTAAAGCTCATGATGCCAAAGAAGGAGTTTGAATTGTTTAAGGTAAAGTAGGGAAGTGTTAGTGTAAGTAGTATTGTAGTACTTGCTGGACTATTTACCACATCAGCCAAATTTTCAAAAATAAAGTAATTTTTGTCCACATATAGGCTGCACTTGAACATTCATGAACTTGACATTTGTGTTGTATTGTCGCTCCTTAACCACCTGCTGATGGGGCAAAACAAAGATGACACACGACTGTTTGAACTGTGTTTTAACGCACTGTTGACTCGTGATGGCCAAAGCACTTTGGTAAATCAAGTCTATTTTGACAATAACTTTCCTAATAAAACTTGATACAGTCAATATCCATGAACTCGGCTGACAACAGCCTTAATCACATCAAATGTGCTGTGTGTATTTCCCAAACATTTCGTATCGGCTCTCTGCTGTTCATATAAACTCACCGGCAAGCAGGGAATGTGTCCTGGAGATCAACAGCCGATTGACCTGTGCACCCCAGGGGGCGCGCTAACAAAATAATATCCATACATTGGCTGCATCAGCATCTCAAAGACCTTTAGAAAAGTAGCAGCTTGTAGTCCAGCAAGGTGTGTGTGTGTGTGTTACTTTTACTTTATTCACAAATTTGCAGTTTCGAAAGTGTGTGTCTGACATTAAAAGGAGCCTAAAAAGATGTTGTGTGTGCAGTGCTTCCAAATGAGCATAATTCTAAAAGTTTTCTTTCCTTATGTCATCCCATATTGTTTGTTTCTGTGTACATCTGTGCAGCAATTATTGGGAGAGTTGAATGAGGTAAACCAGTGTGATTTAGATTTAGACTCTAGACTAGTGACCATTATTGTGTGCAGTGTTTACTATAAAAGGCTTTGTGTTACACTGCTCTGTTAGTCCACTCCTGATATTCCTTCTATGTAGAGATTGTATACACGGTTTATGAAAATTAGTCCATTGTTCAAAAGCCTTCTGTAATTAATTCTGTAATTCAACAATGGGAAACTAATGTTGGATATCGATCCATCTTTTTCCGCTTTATCTGTTGCCGGATCGCGGGGGCAGATACGCCCAGATTTCCCTATCCACGCACACAGTCTATATTATTGATTTTTATTGAAGTTGAATTACTGAAAATACGTTACAATAGTATTAGAATATTGTTCAACATATAAGTGGTTTTCTGGGATAATCATTCTCCTACATCCATAATTTTTTTACTGAAACTTTTTAGGAAAGTATTAAAGTCAGTGATGCCAATGGTGACTTCTGTATTGTTAAGTTTAGCTGCATCTTTTGAGTAGAGCTGCTCAAATGTACATCATCTTCGTAGGCTACATCATGACGTGCTCATCAAAGTGTATTTGTGGAATTTCAGAAACAGTCGCGCCCGGAGCCCTTGAAACCAGCGGTGACACCATTGCCCCCGACGCCGACCTCCCCCCCTCCTGCCCCGATCGGCCTGCCCACCCCCCCTCTGCCTCCTCCCACTCACGAGACCCCCAAACCCAGCACCAAGCCCCCCAGCAGCACCACCGCGAGCCGCCACAACAGCACCACCGCAAGCCGCCACAACAGCACCACGTCCAGCGAAGGCAACGTCACCATGAGGGAGCACGGCCAGGCACAGGCCATACCCGCAAACCGTAAGCCCTAGTGCCCCCGCCTCAGGGCACTTTCTCGGATGATTTGAAGTTGTATAGAGTGTGTATTTTGTTAAGTTGCAAATGCATGGATAATATTTTTCCTGTACTATATTTAATCTTATCCTTTTTGATTAAATATAGTACGGGACATTATTCAGACACTGAATAAATATTATATTCCTATTCTTTTAAATTATGAACCGATATGTTTTAAATATAAAATGAAGATGAATAATAATACTATTTATACTACTGCTGATATTAATACGAATAATTATAATATGTACCCAAATAAAAATACTAATAGTAATAATACTAAACATAATGCAAAAAACTCATAATAATGGTAGCAATAATACTAATAATAGCAGCTAGTTTGGGTAATGGGACAGTTACTTAAAGAAGACATATGCACAATCATCGTCTTTCATCTTCTTTCCACAGTACAATAGTATTCCCTCTGGCTCCACAGTTTAACAATGGAGCGGCCGTTGGTGTGTGCATTTGGCTGAATACTTTATATTGGTCACAAGTTGTCATGGGTCATGTGAGAGGCCCGCAGGAGTCTGTGTCCCGTCTGTGTTTGTCATATATTTTGAGATTCTAAAACCAACTGCCATTAGTAGCTAGTCTCAGTATCACGTTTAAGGACCAAATTATGCATAATATTTAAGCTTTAGGCTTGGACGACCATATACAAATTGTTATTATTTATTAAACTGCTACTTTTGTCATGGCATTTGTGACCCTCCAAAATTATATAACAAATCCCAATCCTTGTTTGACTACTGCTAGAGTGGGGTCATAATAGCAGTATCACAAATTATTCTTACTTAAGCTTCATAAGGCAGGGAGTTAAATGGACCAAAAGCTGAATTTATGATTATAGGTTGAATTCTCTTCATTTGTGATGTCTAATGTTTGTCTGACGATGCAGGGAGGAAATCCAACATGGAGGAGGTGCAGGACGAGCTCATGCACCGGTTGACGTTGGGTCGAAGCGCTCAGAAGAAGTTTCCGGTTCCGTGCCGAGGAAACAGTCAGCAAACTGTGAACATCACGTACGACTCTTTTCCAGACGAAGTGCGGAGCTGGTTGGAGACCAAAGGCTTCAGTGATGTGTAAGACTCGATCATGAAACCAAAAAACCTACAATCCTTGTTGTGAAAACCCAAGAGTGGGACTTTTGGCTGTATGTTCATAATCACATTTGGCTGTAGGACCATCTCGAGCCTTGGGGTCCTGACTGGCGCCCAGCTCTTCTCTCTGAACAAGGAGGAGCTGAAGACCGTCTGTCCGGACGATGGAGCTCGCGTCTATAGTCAAGTGATGGTGCAGAAGGCCGCTCTGGAGGTGAGTGCTGATGTATGGTCCTCTCAAAATTAATTAAAAATAATGAAAATGATTGGCCACATATAATATCTGTAGAATGAGGTAGCTGAGGTGAGGCCATAACAATCTCTAGTCCTAGATCTTCACAATTTTTATCCCCAAACTCTGGTCTGGTGTGTGGTGTCTATCTCCCACCTGCAGGTTTTCTTCTGACGTCCCTTTGATCTTCTGAATGACTTTTATAAAGGTATTGTGTCTATCAACTGATTCGCCCTGCTTCATGCTGCTGGCCAGATTCAAATTTTAAATCATTATTTAGTGTTAAACCTTATTTTTGATGCAAACTGGGAAAGTGAATCTGGCCACCAGGATGAAGCCAATAGGAGTAGCTTTGCCCTCCTGCTCTAAGAAATCCTCCACCTCCCAATGATCCCACTGCTCCCCCTGGTGTCCAGGATGTAGAGTGTCCTTTTGCATGGAGACAGTCAAACATCTGCATGTTTACCAGAGTTCACATGCAAACACACCACTACATGTTTGTTGCATAAGATTATGTTTCCTTTTTTTAGAACTGACTTCCCCCTCAAAATGTCATGTAGATCTTTGGTGAATATTAGATTGTCAGTCACTTGAAAGTCTTATACCCTGTGTTTAATTTTAGTCAGTAATCTCACCATTCTGAGAAAGTAAGTGGGAAACTATTGTTATCTATCAAAGGTTTTAGGTAGATGGATTGTTAAGTGTCATAAACAAGTCTTAATATGCCTTGTTATTGTTATCCATCTATAATTGTGGCTTTGGTAAGTACAAAAAAACTATTTATGTCTCTGTAGAAATCTTGCGATCAAAGATCTGTGGGAGTGAACACATTAAATAAACCACATATTCTGAGGCCTTTTGGAGCTGTTTTGTCTGTGTTTTTTTCACCTAATTCTACTTAAATGATTGTAAGCGTTAAATAATTGAAAACATGTATAATTTTATCTTGAAATAATCTGCCCCTTACACCACTGACACACACAGTATTAGTTTGAAACTCACCCAGAATGCACCCTGATCCCAACTCCATTCAAAATGTTTCTGCACACCTCAAACTGTAACTCTGGAAATCTCCTATTCCTGTTTCATTCTGTTTTTTTAATATGATGCAAGTATTATTGGACCTTACACAAATTGCACAAAGGTCAGAAAGGCTGCTGTAGTTGGCTTGTAGCTGAAGTCTACGGCCGCCGTCCAACAGTGTCTCATGTGTTGGTGTTGTGTGTTTCAGAGGAGCTCTGGCTCTGAGCTGCAGGAGATCATGCGGCGGCGGCAGGAGAAGCTCGCAGCCTCCACCTGTGACTCAGGGGTGGAGTCTTTTGACGAGGGTAGCACCCACTGAGCACCCACCGTTTATCTATTTAACCGCAGTTGTGTCGTGTTTAGGCAGCAGAGGACCGCGCTCACTTTGTGGAGGTGATGCGGCGGCGCCAGGAGCTCCTCAGCTCCTCTCCGTAAGGACCACATCAGGACCAGTGTGTTGTGACTCGCCAACTTTGCCTGAACCGGGAAATTTCAAGAAGAACGACTCAGTGGGTGTCCAGACCGTCGCCTGACAGTATTACGGCTGCTCCACTTTGTGCCTGTCACTGGTATTCTCCACATGAATGAGGCTTTGATATCGTATTCGCAAAACACATGTCTAGATTACACCTGATTACTGTCATTTATGCGTAAAACATGACGATAACGGAACTGCTGTCGTCTTTCATTTCCTCCTTATCCAACCAGACTCAAGCCACAGGAAATGTAGGTTGGAGCATACAGGAGCAATAATGTAAAAGTGAGAAATCTCCTTTTACGGTTTTGTGAATACAATAAGACTCACTCACAAATGTTATGTAAAAGAACGAGGTTACAATTTGAAAGGCACAAACTGGAACCGATTCCTGGTCTGTGAATGTGTGAATGCAAAACTGTATCTGGCAGTTGTTTTTATATTGTCCTGGGAATATTCAGTTACAATAGAAATAATCACATATATAATTAATATTTATGTGTTTTTGCTCTTAGGAAAACATTATTGAATGTTTTTTTGTTGTAATATACTGTCGATAAATAGAAATTAATGTCAAAAGAGGATTGGTCTTTCTCTAGAAGACTTGGCTTAGACAATTCCAGCATTTTTGCACATAGAAATATCTTATCAGACCATCTGTAGATATTAATTTTTCGAGTTGTTGTGCAATCTGAGCGAATGCAGTAACTATTTCCGCTACCTGCAGTTCAACCAAAAGTAACCAGTAGCCTCACACAGCTGCATGTATTGTTGCTAGCCTGATTTGACCGTAGAACGTGTAAATATTTAAGCTGTATGATTGTATTGCTTTAATTTATGTTCAGCCCACTCATGATGCATTTATTTTTATTTTTTTAAGGAGACCAATACCAAGAAATGCACATTGAGTGACTTTCTTTTATGTGATTTTTTTTTTTTTTAGTTAGTTATTTTATGATTCATTCTCACTCAGGTGTTGGGGCCACTGCCAACTGCCACACAATGTAATCGTTGAAAAGTTAAAATTTGTTTCCAGGTCTGCAAAAAGAACCAGATACCGTTTGTCCAATAGAGACAAAAATATGGACTGTTTTGATCTGCATCTGATCTGTAATGTCAAACTGTATTTAATCATATTTATTATGTGTGCATTGCAGACGTAAGGGAGACAGAATAAACTGGAGTAGATTTCCATACTCTATCTGTGACTATTATCATGCTGATTTTGAGGCACAGCCATTTTGTAGGAATAATAATGGCCATGACAGGATCACGACTGTTTAGTACCCCACAAATGCCATTTGTAGACTTTTCATGGTGCCTTTTCCTTTTGGATCTGCCCATTCTACAATAAATCATTTCCAAAAAAACATGCTTATTGATTTGTATGATTATTTATGGTACGCATGGCGATAACGGGAATTCTAGTTTATACTTTTTTGTCCCCGTAGGGAAGTTTGTCCTGTGCATTTGACACATCCTTCATTGTCTCTTTAAGGATTCTGTCAGGAGCAGTGTTCGCCGTAGTATAGCTCTCAAGGAACCATCGGTGCAGTGGTTAGCGCTTATGCTTCACAACAAGAAGGTTCTGAGTTTTATTCCACTTCTAGGCCTTTCTGTGTGGAGTTCACATGATTTCCCCGTATCTTTGTAGGTTTGCTCCAGGTGCTATGGCTTCCCCTACCACTAAAAATTAGTACAATAGTCCCCCATAAACACCCACACCCACACCTTCTCTGTGGGGTCCGGACTCCCCTGATAAACACATTCTTACATGATTATATACAGTGGGACTTTTCTGGTTTCAGCCAAAGAAAATTCATAGTTTGTGACTTCCTGTTACTCTCAATGGCAAGAATAGAATTTGGATTCTAGTTAAAAAAAAAAAAAAAATCTTCAGATTTTGATGCTCTGCTTGGTCAAAAGAAGACCACCAGAGAGTGATGATTATACCTATTGCACATGTGGAGTGGTAAGGGAAACTAGAGCACACTGCATGTTCTTCCCGTGTCTGCGTAGGATTTTTCAAACTCTGTAGGCCCTGGTCTGACCGGGATTTTAGCCCAGGACCTTGCAAGTGTGCTAACCACCATGCCAGCAGTGAAACAAAAGCATTAAACTCATTCTTAAAACACACATCCAATCTCTTGTTTCAATCAACAATTTTACTTAAAAAGTCTACATTATGCACATTCACATCTTCAAAACTGAAGTATGGAGGCAACAACGCCAACACTTGAACAGGTTCTTCAGCCCAAAGTAGTGCAAAGAAGCAAGTGTGAATGTCCGCTCACCTGATCATGTCCATTCAGCAAACTTACTACTTCGATGGTCTTCGAACCGGTCCTCAAAAAGGCTGTGTGGCTGCAGGTTTTCATTCCAACCAAGCAGGTGCACACCAGACTCCTCATTTCATCAAGCGAGTCCAGTCTGAACCTTAAGACTGGCCCTTTGAGGACCAGTTTACAGATCACTGCATTTACAATGTAGAATTGTAGTGTTTGCAGAGAACATTCAGAGGCTCTTCACATTCACACGGTCAGAGGTCATCAGCACAAAAAAGCCCAAATGATGGCAGCCAACATTAAAAGTAGATCAAAAGAAATGGCATACGTTTAGATTGAAGTTTGTCGCATATGGCTGAAGATTTAAGCACAAACAAAACCTTCCTGATTCAAAACTACACAAAACTTCTAGATCTCAATTTGTGGCCTGTAGCCCAACGGAAAACCAGAGTAAAACAAAGCATTTAAAAGTTGTCAAAATAAAATAAAGGCTGCATTTCAGAAACCACTTGTTGCTTGTTCTCTCACTGCTTTTACTGCTGCTCTACGACTGACACTACGCTGCAAGAGCTGGAACTTCATTTTTCATTCATTTGAAACTGGCAACCCAAGATCGACTCAGCTGTGATGTCCACGTTGACATTATGTCCATTGTTTATGTGATTTAAAAACACAAATTGTATTGTATATAATGTATTTTATATGGACAGAATTACCTTGTACCTGGAGATGCAGATTTGTCATGTAAGAATTTATGGTCAATCAATAATTTACCTAGGGTTCTTTGATAGAAAATATTTGCTGTTTGTAAAGCAAAATGAACGGTGGCCATTACAGCTGATGGGAAATACTTCTTTCAAAAGCTTCAGTTAATGCTGGACTGCTATTATTTGAACCACACTTTGAATGCCATTATTATGAGGCTACATTATGATTATACATTTAATTTTCATATGTACGGTAATTATGAAAATTAAGCTTGAACTGACAAAACAGCTGTGATTCTATAAGAAACTGAAATTTGAGCAGCTAGTCCCTGACTGTTGTGCTGAGTGTTGCTTCAGGACACTTGGATCACCTCCATGCTCCCAGAGAAGCTCGATTGACTTCCCACTTTGACCATTTCCTCTCGAGAGTGACTGTCTGTCGCCCCAGTCCCAAACTCCATCTGACAGCTGCGGCGCTTGAGCTGCTTCTCAAAGCTGCTCTCCTCGTGCCAGCTGCGCCGCGAGTCCCCACAGTCACCAGTCCTCTGCCGCCCGCGCCGCCGCACCGCCTCCAGTCCGTGGCTGTAGTAGGAAAACCCACCACCCGTCAAAATGGCTGATGTGGAATAAAAGCGCGTGGACTCTGAGGACAGAAACCAGCTTCCAGCCAAAGAGGACGTGGACACAGTGACCGGCCCCAGCAGAATGTCAGAGTGCCAGCCCTTCAGCGCGCTCCCCGGCCCGCCCTTAAACACCTGCTGCTGGCTGCGCGACAGTTCCACCAGCACGCGGTTGCCATGGTCCTCCACGCTGCCGCTGCGCTGAAGCGTGGGGCCAGCGCCTTTAGCTGGTTTCACGGCTGCTGCAGGGGCCCCAGCTTCCTCTTTGTCAGGGCTCTGCTCTGGGGTGGACTGCTCGGACACCTCCTCCACTGGGGAGAATTGGCAGGGTTTACTAGTGCTGTCTTTGAATGCAGATGGTCTTCCTGTGTCCACTCTGTGTGCACTGGCTCCTGGCGGCTCACCGTACGACTTAATGTCCAGTGAGAAGGAGCGCTTAAGGCGCACGCCCTCCTCTGGGCAGTCAAAGAGCTGAACACTGCTGAGCTGCTCCAACAGGCGCTCTTCAGGTGGCTCTGTGAGCGCACAGGGCAGAGGGAGTGTCTCAGGATCAGGATCAGAACCAGAGGAGCAGGTTTGCTCAGACACAGGTCTGGAGGGCTCGTCCGCTCCATCTGCACTCCCTGAACCATTTACATTTTTGATTCTCTTCTCAAAGTCCAAGAGTTGACCCAGGAAGTTAAAGTTTGGCGATATTGTTGGCCTCTTTTCCTTCACAAACCTGCCACAAAGAACAAGTGGAATGCAGAGCTCATTAGAGTGTTTCATCAGAGTAATGAGTTTTGACAGTCAAATCTAAAGTGTCATTCTCATTATGAAGGGTTTGTTTGAACTTGGGGAATGTGTACGATCACAAACATGTCAACTACTAAAGGCTGTCTTCCAAAAATGACCCAGGCCTCAGAATATGATCAAAGGTATAAATACCGACCTGTATGCCTCGTCCAGTGACATGTTCATTCTCATCATGATGTAAGCAATGGCGATGGTAGCCGATCGCGATATTCCAGCCAGACAATGCACCAAGACGTGCGCGTTACAAGCTTTGGCTTTTTCTGAAAAAGAAAAAGAAATCTCAGCTAGGTTTCCTACAGAGATGATTCAACTTTTCTATCCAAAATCTGCTGACCAATAAACTCCACTGATCTGTCCAACCAAGGCAGAATCTTCTCACAAAAGCTGTCGTTGACAGGAACTCTCAGGAAGTGAGACTCTGGGATGAAGTCAGGCTTGGGGCAAGTGTTGCTAGCATTCAGAACATATGCTATTTCATTTTGTTGCATCAGCTCCTGCATAGAAACAGTGTAACATACTTTCAGTTAGTACGACTGCAGACTGCAGCCAACACACTGAGGTTGAAGCCAAAATACACCAAAAGTTTCTGCAATTTGGCCGTTGTCAATCAGGCGAGCAAATCTACTTTTTGCAGACTTTAAAACACCTCATGCAGTAGTTTCTATACAGTAGGAGGTTTTTACCATCATGTGTCTGGAAAAAAGAGCTGCGTGGTGTAAAAGGATTGAACTTACAGTACATACGCTATAGAATCTGAGATATTGTGAAGAATGAAATGAATTGAATGACATTGACAGGATCTTAGATTAAAAAATTTCAGGAAGCAGGAGGGGTTTTCATAGCTTTGTCTGATTTTTAAAGTCAATTTAAAATAAAAAGTGTATTGTATAGTGTATATACACTGGTGATCGGGACACACTTAGGGATTTCGTTTTGCCATTATCGCACAAGGCCATGTTGACATTTTATCATGGCATTAGTGTGCACTCGTTTACATTCTTTTGGGAACTGATGTTCATCTGCATGAGCCACTAGAGTAACAATGAACCAACAGCTGGATATATTCTATTGACAATACACACTCCTGGTGCTTTTATGTCGCTTTCCTGTTGATAAATAAATATACTATTCTCGTAGGAGGTTGTCTAGAGTTTAGGAATAACACAAAAATCAAAATTTAATTTATTATGTATTTTTTGTTCTGTTGCAAACCCAGATGAAAGCCTCTGGTACCTTGTTCAGGACGTCCCTCTGGCAGCCCAAGTACAGATGAGACAGGATGCGTGTGGGTCCGATGCTGGTGGCTGGCAGACAGGGCTGAGACACACAGGACGGAACACATGTGGACTTGCCCTCACACAGACCAGGGAACATGTGGCAGAACTCGGAGAAACCACCTGACGAACAGAAAGAAGCCTATTGTAAACTTTTAGGGCATTTAATTTACATTCAGATCGCTGTAAAAGAGAGTATTCAGTTGCAAATAGCATTTGTTCCTGGTTTGTAGTTTGATGTATATGAAAAAAAAACGTTTGGAGAGTTTTCTTTCAGTTAAAGGGTGGTGTCTTTGTAACAGCATGACTACATACTTACATAAGCACGACAACAATAAAAACCCAATAACAAAAAAACAGTTTCAGTCAAACCAACATTACAAGACGTTTTGTGACCGTAAAGTAAAAGAGACTTGTCAATGAAGCTCTGTGACAGACTGTGTTAAAGTGACAGACTTACCTAAAAGCAGATGCACAGATGGGAAGGTTTTTTCTAACTTGACGAGCAGCACACAGAGGAATGAGTCCGGGGCGAGAGCTGCCAGATCAGAACTTTGGTCGTACACCACAACTTCTTGGTTGACCCGCAACTCCAACTATGAGGACAAGAGTCATCAGTAATATCGAACTTGCAAATTGAACTTTTACACAACTCCTTAGTGACAAGACTAAAGGTGAATAAGAAAAGGCACAGAACGAGAAAGCTAAAGGCTAACAGTTTCTTGAGGAGACATGAGTTAATGACGTGATACCTTTTTCTTGGCTGAGTGTTGCAGCAGTTCAGCGATCTGAACTTTGTCCTGCTGAAGCCTCCTCTTCATGAGCTTGGAACAGTTGACGTTGACCGCCTCCAGGATGTGAGATGTATTATAATCCACAAAGGGCCTGCTATCAATCAGCACCACTCGATCCAGACTGCCTTCCAGAAGGGCCACCAGCGCTTCAGCCCCAATGGGCTGCACAGTCCTGGGCTTTTGCATCCCCACTGCAAAGCTGCACCTGCTCACTGCTGCCACGGGACTCCCCGACATGCCCCCACCCCTGCAGTGGGGCCGGTAGGCTGCCCCTCGACGCTGAGGCCTTCAGTACGGCCCAGTTAATCGTGCAATGCAATGACACAAACTTGCGAGGGCCTCAGGAGATGAAGAGCACCATTATGTGAGCCAGCAATGATGTCATGGTGTTTGGCAGTCTCAGACCCAGTCCAAAGACAGAGAGGCTACGGCTCAGAGCATCAGACAAAGTAAAGCACCACTGTGTGTTTATGTCAGAAAAGTTAGTGGTGCGAGAAGGGGCTCATGCACACCGAGGCCCACCCGAGACACCTGCGACCAATGACATCACTCTGCTCCTTTGTCCTGGGCTTCATAGTGTCCCTACGAGCAAAAACACCAGTCAGGACTAAAAATAACACAAATCATCTACATTTCCTGTTTGTGAACATGCTCTCATAAAACATGGGAACCATCATGTTCATTTTTCTGTTTCGGGACAATTTGTTAAAAAAAGATTCCCTCTGATGAATAAATTCAGTAAATTGTGAACCATCTATTGACGTCGCCAATGATCATGCAGTAACTGTGACGCAATGATTTTAACAAACTTTTTTCCAGTTTAGTCTTAGGCAACTTTCACAAACTAAAATGGGTCGATTAAGCCGTGAAAGTTGACCAATCGAATAGACGTCGCAAAAACCAGCAGCAGATAATACCAACAGCCAAAGGATAAATAGGACAGATGCATTCCGTTTATGAAACCAGCTCTTGGGTGTGATTTCTGATCAATCAAAGAGTAAGAAACAAATCAGCGGCTCTCAAAGTAGAGGACGAGAGCCTCTGGCCTTTTACCTCCTAACACTTTTTACAGTATGTCCCCAAGATAAATTATACCTTCAAACATTTTAGTCAAGATCCAATCATTTAAGTGAAATTAGGTCAAAAACGCAATCAACTATGCACATTAACAACAACTGAATTGAGCATGTATTTAAGAGATCCTTCGTTCCATCAGCTGTAAAACTGCAACAGCTCTGTCTGTGTTAAACATTTAACACACATTTTATTACTATTGCTCGTAACTTTTAGAATTGTGTATTTATTTATTTTTGTATAGAGGATGTAGTTCTGCTGCTGGACATCTGATTGGATAGATCAATAAAGTATTCAAATACATAACATCTTAATATTAAGTTTATAATTGTTTGGGGGCCCTCCATTTAAAAGCTTAAGAACTCTTGCAAAAAAAAAAAAAAAACATTCAAACAACATTTTGTAACAAGCAAAATAATTGATCACAATGAATCAATTATTTAAATAGAAACAGTCATATTACAGAATTAAACATGTAACAAGTCATCTCTATGAAGATCACTTGAGCTTTCAGGATCTAAACAACTTCATCATCAATTAATCAAAGGAATAATCTGCCGACTAATCGATGATCCAAATAATAGTTTGGACATAATTCACATAATTCTGTGTTCAAGTGATAAAAAAAATAATTATATATATATATATATATATATATATATATACACACACACACACACGTGTGCGTGTACGTGCGTGTGTGTATTTATTATTGCTGTTGTTATTATTATAATTATTAAGTTGTATCTTTCTTAAGAAACTTTCCATGTCATCGGGCAACTTGAGGCGGCATAATAAATTCATGTTTTCTTTTACATCAGCTCACTCGTTTTTTTCTGACATTTTGAAACGCTTCTCTGGTTAAATGTGAACCGACGGGAAACGACCAGTCCGTACATAGAGTTCAAACAAAAGTAATACTTTTACATCTCTTCAAGACAACCAAGGGACGAACATTTGAAGAACTTTGACACGATCTAGGCCTCGTAAACCACCGCAGATGATTTATACTTTGATACTTTGGAAAACTCACCGATCAAAAGTCCACGTCAAAAGCAGACGCTGCGGGAAAGTCGTCCATATCACTACATCACTGACATGTTTCGGCTGTGCGGGTTTTAAACGAAATGGCTAAGACCCGACGGTAAAATGTGAGGTAAAGTGAAGAGAAGTTGGTGGTGCTGCCATAAGAGATGAGGTCACTGTTTAAAAATACTCATGTCGTCATCGGCCACAGTCAGAGCAGCTCGTGGGCTTCTTAAAGGGGCCGCGCTCCAAAGGCCCCGGGCTCTGCTATGGCTCTGCCGTGTAGGCTGGAGTACTGTACTCAGCTCTGCCTCTTCTCCATGAGTATAATGGGTTTTCCACCAAAAAGAGCAGGTCAAAATTAAAAAATATAAACCCCGAGCATCTTAGTCACTCATCTCATTAGACAAAGTTTTATTTACTGCAGTTAGGTTTTTCCACATCTGGTTCTATCAAAAAGAGTTGATGTTAAAGTGATCAAGTGTTATGTTTTAAATACATTTGGAATTATTTTGGTTAAATTACATGCATTTAAAACATGAATGAATTGGTAAAACCAATTAATTCATGTTTAATTCATTCATATCAATTAATTACCAATAAAGTCAGAATTTGTGAACATACATAGGAAAATAAACTGATATCACATCAGTTTATTTTCCTATGTTCACACAGTATGCATGGGACAGACAAGAGTCCTCCAAAAGACTCTGTAATGGTAATGATGATATAGTAAACAAAAACATATAGTCTAACCATTGATGCAATGTGAATTAAACACAATCAATACAAAATCTAGCTTGATTAAGAAATCCTTGAACTGTCAATAGATTAATTAGTAAACAAATATTTGAAATTAAAACAGTTTGAGAACCAAGTAGTTATTTTTATTTATTTTTTCCATGGGCCCATTTTTTTCTCATGGGAGCGTTGTAACTACTCTTTTAAGATAATTGATATTAGTTTGGATATTCATTTGTGGAAAGCGTCTGCCGTCAACAGAATATAAAAAGGTTGTCTTGTTGACTCCTTGACTGTGCTGGGCATTTTTAACCAAGCGTGCCTATTGTTGTGCAGATCTCTTTTCCTTTTTGTTGCACTTGGTCCAATTGGGCAGGTAGCTCCCTCCTACTGGCTTTAGTAGTCCATAAAATAACAACACTTGGATAAATAATAATGCTTTTTTAGACACTCAAATTCAAGAAGCTCCTCGTCTCATTATTCATTCACTCTGTACACAGTGGTAATAAACTATTTCTGTATCCATAGCTGCCCTGGGGCAAACTGAAAGGAGTAAGGCTTCCAAACTGTGCCATCACATACAGATATGGCCACAAAATTGACAAGTGTTCCTGTATTGTAAATTTAGTCAAAAATATTGTGTTATCTATTAAAGTATAAAAAACAACAACTTTATTTTGCATTGTTTTGCGTTTAATTCCCGTTGCTTACTGATGTGCTTTCACATGGTCTGTAGGTGGCAGTAATGAGCCGATAGTTTAGACATCATGTGATCAAAACAACGTCCTGCTTTTGTTCAGCATTAGCGAGAAAACTTGCAATAATTCACATTTCTAAACCACGAACCTCTGAGCTCAGCTGTTTCCTCAGAGGTTAGATCAACCCAACATCTGTTTTAAACCCAACAACATGGATGACAACAAGGTAAAACAATGAAACTAGCTAGCACCTTTGATAGCATATGGAAGTGACTTGGATAAACACAACGCTGTTTTTGCTACATTTAACATCATGCATTGGTTAGAGGCAGATGAAATGTGAATAAGGTGTAATATTAGAGCGTGTTATGCACTGTTTAAGCAGAGTTAAGCTGCGAAAAGGTTATTATTTCCTCCCCAACACACTTAGCTTGTTATGCTAGCTAGCTCTCTCCAGCACTTTGCATTGGTGGCGATGCTTGCTAATGTTTATTTCTGACACCACATTTTTTTAACAGTGAAGTCAATACGTTTAGCAGTAGTAGATTTTATTATGGATATGGTTTTGTTATTGAAATGCTCATTGGTCTTTGCCGATCTGAATAAAGGTAGAACTGCTAGCTAGCTTAGTAACCAGCTATCGCGATTTTGTTGTCAAAGTACGGGGCTAATGTTTTTTATGTTTCTTGACAGATAATGGCTGGAAAAGTGAAGAAACCTGGGAAACGTGGTCGGAAACCTGCTAAGATTGACTTAAAGGCCAAACTGGAGCGCAGCCGTCAGAGCGCCCGCGAATGCAGAGCCAGAAAGAAGCTGCGTTACCAATACCTGGAGGAGCTGGTGTCGAGCAAGGAGAGGGCCATATGTGCTCTGAGAGAGGAGCTGGACATGGCAAGTTACTGTCTAACACACAATAATAATAATAATAACCCTACTAGTGATAATGATAGTAATAATTTAGAGTGATTTTAAACATTCTTTTTCTTTCAGTACAAGCAGTGGTGCTCAGCTATGGACCAAGGAAAGATTCCCTCTGAGATAAAGGCCTTGCTGACGGGCGACGAGCAGAAGATCTCTCATAACGGAAGCAACACAAAAGCATCAAAGAACAGCAAAGTAGCCGCGGACAAGCCCGAGCGCAGAAACGAGTAACTGATGAGACACAGAATGTAGAAAGTGATTGACTCTGCGACAGGAACATGCAAGTTGTATGTACATTGATGTATTTGAATGTGCATATTAACATACACTGTATTTACCCCAAAAGAACTCATCTCCACAATTCTCACTTTGCTGCTCCATAACTTGTTTGGATTTTGGATACAGTGAGTCATATTTAGTTGATAGCAGTTACAGTAGCACCATACTGTAAATAATTTAAATAATGCAAGATAACCCATTTTTCCATCTGGTGTAAAAGTCTCTGCTGACAATTATTCCTGCAATTGTTTTTTTTTTTGGTATCAATGAAGTGCCTGTTTTTCTTGCAGAAAAATGTAAGACAGGGAGAGGTGATGTCCAAATTATTTATTGTTCCTGCTTTGTCAGTTACTTTTAAGAACCCAGAAAAGCCGAAAATGGCACGTGCTAATATCCCACCAAGCAAAATAATGACAGATTATAAGAAAACAACTTCAACAAGTCGTGCACTTTAAAAGAATGGGTTTTTGAATTAACATCCTCCTGATTATGGAGATAATGTTGTTGTATATATTGTAAGTTATACCCTTTCCAGATTGTTCTAGTTTTGTATAAATGTTGTAGTTTTTTTGTTGAGCAATGTTTATTTGTTTATTTACTATTTTGTTTTCTACTTATTCTTTTTATGTTCTGAATACACGTGAAATACAAAATGAAGAGTCCAGTTTTTAAGTTATTTTATTATAAACCAGAAGAGCTTAAAACAATTCACAGAAATACACACGCGTATTCACAAGTGTTTGATCGAAAGAAAACAAGACAATAAAAGTGCACATAACAGCTCACACATGGTTAAAACTTGCTCTTAACTTCTGACTGCTGATTGCATTAGACAGAAGTTTGAAACCATTTCAGCTTGATGAAAAAACAACAGACATCTTCAAGTTCTGTCATGTAATGTTATTACTTTGTGAGAATAAACTTAAAGTTATATAAGTGTTGATATCAATTATATTTCTATTATAATGAGAAACAACATGTGTAGTGAAATGATTCATCTGCGTAAGAATCAACAGCACCCAGATAACTGGACTTGTCATTTCAATACACATTAGGCCACAACATTTAGGTTTAAGTTAAACATGGCTGATTATTGAAACTGTACAGTTCATTTTTCAGTTCTGTGAGTGTAACATACAGGTGTATGATTGAGCCATATACAGTATTCAGCTCATGAGAACATCAAAAACACAATGGGGTTCCTAGAACTACCTCCTAAACTTATTCTCGAGTTCCATCCACCTTGCGTAGGCTACTGCTTTAGATCAATACAAAGTGTTCATGTTTGGTACATTATACTTTATTCTGCCAAAATCATCCTACATAAACCTTTATGATGTTTATACATTTTACTAGAAAAAACAATTAAAATGTCCTGACCTGTAAGTACCTTAACCTTAAAGTTACCTGCTTGAAATCCTAATTCACTATGTGCTTTTGCTGGTTGGGATGCACTGGCATGGGAACAAACATTCTATGTATGAATATGTTGAATACAATTACTATGGGTGCTATAAGCCCTTGGTAAAAATTGAGACACATTCTGTTTGTGTGAGGACATACAGTAATACAAAACAAGTGTTGGCAGTGTATTTGTCATGAATTAAAGTCATTGCTTTAGAATAATTGGACCAATTTATACAAAGGTATTTGAGGGATTGGAATTTGTGGGCCAAGCTACTTTCTTCTCTCTTGACTCTCTATCAAATGATTCATAAACAGCATCCTTAGTTACTGTTTTCGCTTGCACTGGGAGATCCACCACACCAACATAGTTCTTTTTAGCCATTCGAGAACTTGCTGTGATGGTGTAGGCATTACTGCGATAACATTTCATGGAGGATGTGCAAAAGGTTTCCCTCATGCCTCTCCGAAAGTTTGCATTGTACACACAGTACAGCGTCGGCTTCGCAGCGGTGGAGCTGAAGGAAATCCAGATGATTGCTGCAAAGAACGACAGCCGCTGTCTGTTTGTGCTTTGAGAGTCTATCGGGTGCCACATCTGTGCAACATAAAAAGGTGTCCAGGAGAGGAAGAAGACAGAATTGAGCATCAGAAACATCTTTATCGTTTTGACTTTAGTCCTGGGAACAATGTTCATTGTTCGTCGCACTGTGTGACCATCAACACTGATCCTCCAAATGTAGCGGATAATTCTTTGGTAGAAGAATACTATTAGCGCCACAGGAACCATAAAACTTATAAGCAGATGAAGCACAGCATAGGTTATCCCTGCCCAGCCAAAGGGGAGGAAAAAGTCACAAAGGCTGGTGCTACTGTTGGCTGTAGCAAAGCCATAGAAAAAGAAACAGGGGCACACAAAGGCTGTACCAAATAGCCAAGAGGCCAAGATCATCTTCTTGGCCTTCTCTCTGGAAACCTTGAAGCTGAGAGGAAAAACAATTGTATAGAAACGGTCCACTGAAATAGAAAGCAAGACATATACTTGAACACCTGGACAAAGATGCTGCAAATACCGCACAAGTTTGCAAACAACTGCACTGAGTGGCCATTGTCCAGAGGCCACATGCAGGAGGCAGAAAGGAGCACATCCCAGACTCATGAGGAGGTCAGCACAGGCCATGGACACTACAAAGTAGTTGGTGGTCGACTGAGTCCTTCGGCTGCGGTGGATCACCAAACACACAAGGGCATTTCCCAAAATGGACACCAGCCACACTATACCAAACACCAAACCTAAGACAGCCACCTCTCCAGAGGTCAGTGCGCTTTCATCTAAAGTCACATTTGGTTGGCTGGTCCCTGCACTTTCTAAACTGCAGGTGGGAGTTGTCGGTAGGGAGGCAGGGGCACTTGAGTTTTGCTTTTCAGAAAAGTTAAATGACATATAAGACGAAAAGGCTGGTGAAAAAATGGAGGGATTGACATGCGAAGGCTTTGAGTAAACCATGTTTACGTTGGTTCAACTTGAGCATCTGTGAAGACAGAAAACAGTTGTTTCAATTATAACATAAATATTTACTTACAAGACAAATAAAAAACTAAACCTAAGTAGCGTAAGCTATTGTGCAGTGACAGCTGCAGAGCAAGATTCCACTAGGGATTAAGACACATTTATTAAATACACCCTACAGGTCCCTTGTTGTGTTTTATTTCATTAACCACTCACTCACACAGATGCGGCAAAGATTGTTTTGTCCTTTGGGATCTAGGCTTATTAAATAGTACGTAGAAACTAGTAGCTTCACACTTTCTTCTTTTCAAATTCATGAATTTAACACAAATACTATGGAGTATCTTAGCGTGTCTATGTTCTGAAAGTAGGTAAAAAGAGTACAGTAAATGCTGTGTTGATCTCATAGACTGTAAATAATAATGCTGATCTACAGGAGACAGGTTAGAAGGCTAATCAGTCACATTTAGTTGTTTAAAGCATTGTACAAATTCATCTGGTAAAAAAATAGTTATTTTCCATTCAATTTCATTATGTTCATTTATTATCAAATAGCAACAAGATTCTGTTTACAATTGTTACCCCACTCCCTCCCCCCCAAAAAACGTACCACAACTGATATATCGAAGCGGGTGCAAGCATACATACACATACATACATATATACATACATACATACATACACATACATACATACACATACATACATACACATACATACATACACATACATACACACACATACAGACACATACATACATACATACATATACATACATATACATACATATACATACATATACATACATATACATACATATACATACATATACAGACATATACATACATATACATACATATACATACATATACATACATATACATACATATACATACATATACATACATACACATACATACACATACATACACATACATACACATACATACACATACATACACATACACATACATACACATACATACACATACATACATACACATACATACATACATACATACATACATACATACATACATACATACATGTAAGTGTTCATACACATACACATACATACATACATACATACATACATACATACATACATACATACATACATACATACATACATGTAAGTGTTCATACACATACACATACATACACATACATACATACATACATACATGTAAGTGTTCATACACATACATACATACATACATACATACATACATACATACATACATACACATACATACATACATACATACATACATACACATACATACATACAGGGTTCGAAATTAACTTTTTTGATCACCAGCCAAAGTGGCTGGTGACTTTCTGAAGTTACCAGCCAATCAGAATTTCCATTAGCCAAATTTTTACGTTGTGAAAATAAGAGATTATGAATGCCACTGAATGAAAATGTGATAATTTTATTAACAGTGCATGAAAAACGCACAGAAAGTGCAATACACAGAACAGACTATACACAGTTATAAACTGTTATAAACTTAACTTAACTATATCATTTCCAAGTTGGATAATTAACAAGTTCCCTCTCAGAATCAAATATCTTCAGAGCTCTCTGAACTCGCTTCTTCCTCTGAATCTGAAGTTTCTTTGGTTATGTTTTTGCGCACAAACTCAGGCCTGCGTCTGCGTAAACCGTCAACATGCCAGATGTTGATGGCTTTGGTTGGATCAAAGTCTTTGATGTCAGGTGAACACAACTGGGTTTTCAGGAGGTCAGAGAGGGACTCACCTTTCAGGCGTGAACGCCAGTCACTCTTTACCTGCTTCATAACACTGAACCCTCTTTCACAGTCAGCTGTACTTGCAGGAATGGTGAGGAGAGCATCAAATAGGTCAAGGATGTCAGGACACCGATGGCGCAGCATTCTGTTCACAGTAGGCCAGGTTTTCTCAATGGTTCCTGCTGCAGGGTCAGACAACATTATACTCTTGCAAACAATCATTTTAAAATGCAACTTTATGTTGTTATTAAAAGATGTCATCAAAATTTGTATTGCACTTT